GTTCATTCCAACATTCAGAGCAAATTTCTCTTTCCAGCCATTGTACTATTTTGGGAAATTCAAATAACTATAATTCCACATATCCGTCCATCAAAACCTAACATCCATTCCATGCTTAGTCTGAGATGCCACGTAAAATGTTGGTGACAATATCTTTTCTAAATTCTGTTAAACACGGGCTTCCGTAAATGTGAAAAGCTTGTGATTGAATAACAATTACTCTCAGTGTCGAGTTTAAGGTCATAGTACTCAGTAGCCAATTTTGACTTATTGAACGAAAATTTAATCACTCCAGCTGACTAGAGTCAATATATACAGTTACGTGGTATGTTATGGATACGAAGCTTTGAAATGATCGAAGGTTTGAGATTTCGCGCACTACGTAACCCCGCAAGTGACATCAACATAATTAGCTACGTGCTTATATGCTTACCCCGCAAACGAACAACGAAGAGCGCTCCAGAAGTGTGTATACCAATATAAATGTAACTAGTTTTGTTTGCAAATTTTACATTAAGTTGTGTGAAGGGACTGAAACCTATGGGCAGGGGGTATATTTACTTGGCTAACACATACAGTCCTCAAACTCGTAATAGAACTAAAATAAGTAAAATCGAAATAAAATCATGCCCCAACCCTAACATTGTACACACACTACGGGAGTATCCTACGAAAAATATTAGCGGAATCAAATATCTATCCACGTTTGGACTTTATATTGAAACGACCCTACGTATTGCACAAGCGAAACCTGGCGATGACGAAATCTTCAGAAAACTATTGTTTTTTAAATAATCAACTCAAGTAACCCAGTGTGACATCACAATAGGTTTCGACCCACGCAACACGGAAGTTGATGACGTTTTTTTCTGATCACCAGAAAAATATACGTAAGTTAAGTTATGTTTAGTCACACTCGGTCCAGAGATAAATGGTGACTAATGGGTGATTTTTTCATTGTGACAGACTTGATAAGATAGACTTGGCAAGTAACGTTATATGAAGGACCATCAAGCTATTTAAGATGATAGCATTTGCTGTTATCGCTTTAAAACTTAAGTAGTAGTATGGTTAGATGTCTGATATGAAAGGCAAATTTGAAAAGCATTTGATTAGGAAGGACTCTATTACAAAATAAGCTCGCGCAGAACAGTTTTTTTGCATCATGCTCTAATCATTCATAAGATCCAAATATTAGGGAAGGCGAAAGTTAGTTATACTTACAAGACTAAATTTGAGAAAAAGTAGTTTAAAAACTTCGGATGAAATTTGGCCGTTTCGATTTAAGTAAATATGGTGTAATATATAATCGGGCTGCCACATATACAGCAGATTAAGAATAGCGATGGACGTATAATCCCAATAGCTTCATAAATGGCGTTCTCTGCAGAAACAGCATGAAAAGAAGGATTTTATGGCCCCAATGGTCATTTGAATGGCCTACTTTATACAGGGCTATTGGACTTCCATATGGACAGCAGGTTAGGTATGAATATATGGTCCCAATTGCCACTTGAATGGGTGCTCTGTAGAAGGCTATCGTGCAGCGTTATGGACAGCAGGTTAGGAATAGATATGATCATTTGAATGACATCCTCTGTAGAGGTATGTTGAGCTGCCATATGAACAGTGGGCTGAGAATAGAGATGAATATATAGGCCCAATAGTTAATGGAATGGCCATCTCTGTAGTAGACTATTGGGCTGCCATATAGATAGCAGGTTAGGGGGAATAAGATGTGTGATCTCAACCACCAGTTGTGTGACCTGATTCGTAGAATCCTACGTTCTTGCCTGTTTAAAATCGAAAATAGCACGCGCTCCCAAAGTGGAGAGACTTTTAGGAGCTTAAATAGTTGCGTAAAAGAAAACCATTTTGCTGCAGCAAGCTCAAATCGCACTCTGTGAGCGAAGAATGACTCACCAAACATTATTATGATATCATACGAACACAGCTGTGTGAACCATATCTCAATTACTGTAAAGCTATTTCAGTATATTTCACTAACAACTCCATGTGAATTTAGCAAATAATACAGCATATTGAGAGCAATAGACAGAGGTGGGCAAGGTTTCTGGACAACGAGCCAAAATATTGCCCACCTAGACTGGCGGGCCATGTAAGCGGGATGTGAAAAGTTACATTTCATGAACAATATTTACAGTGTTACAAAAACAAATGCGGAAAACAATAAGCCACGGGCCAAAACTAAAGTTAATCGTTATCTCAACAAATTTCTTGAGCAATTTTTCAGTTAAAACATCAAAATTTTATAGTTTAGTTGTGGCAGCATCAGGCGAGACAGATTGAATTACCCAACGAGCCGGATTTGGCCCGCGGGCCGTAGTTTGCTCATGTCAGAATCAGAAGACGCCACACTCTCTTTTATTGAAGGAAATAAATGAAGCCTCGCTTTTATGAGTTACGTCACATCTTTATTTTGAACAAGGATATAGACAAGCGGTCACTGAGATGCTGTTATATCAAATGCCCATGTTGCACGTTTGTGTTGTTTCAGATTATTACGACATAATTGCGAAAATCATGTTACATGGTGACATCACAATGTATTATGCGCGAGCAGACGATGACAACGGTGTAGTCATCAATCATGGGATAGCTGTCAGCTTCACAGAGTTAGAGGCTTGCTATATTTAAAACAAAGTCTAGAGTGGAACTAAACTGGAAGTTAAAACTAAATGTGACTCAGTTTCAGGATTCCTAAATACAACACAAAAAAAATACGCAGAAAACTCCATAACTGCTAACAACAGTGAAAAACGCGTATCAATTATACTCTTTCAATATACTTTGTTAATATTAAGACAGTATTAGATATGTTTCGGCGGGAGTAGTTTAATTATCCTTCTTCTGTTCTTTTGTGCCGTTGGACCCGTATGTATATAATGCAAGGATACTGTAGCAAGATTAAAGATAACTTTTCTAAGTAAAAAGTATTGCAGCACAATAACACAAAGCAAGACACTTGAATCCCATGGAATTGTTATTTTTACTTGCTAGAGCATCCTTGCACTATATGCATTCGGATCCCCGACACAAAAGGATAGAAGAAGATTAGAGATAACTATTTTAAGTGATTGAAGAGTTTTGCTTTGTGTTAGTGTGCAGCAAGGCTCTTGAATGACTTACAATAGACTTTGTTATGTAATGCGCTAATTTTGACATATTGGTCAATTACCAAGGGAGTCATGAGCTTTTGAAAAGTATCAGCATCGTTAGTTTCATTTGTGTGTTATTACACTTGTGCTTTCTCAAGAAGGATTTATTGATGTAATCAACGTGTGAAAGTGGCGATTGGCTGGTCTTGATTTTTATTGAAGCATGAAATTGAATTTTTAGTTTGAATATACTTGTCTGAAGAAGTCTGAATTCTAACGAATGTAACTGAAATGTGTAATCCCGTAGTATGTGTACCAGGTTAGGGTTAGGCCATAATTTTATTCCGATTTTTCCTATTTTAGTTCTATTACGAGTTCGGGGACTGTCTGTGTTAGGCAAGTGAATATACCCCCATTCCCATAAGTTCCAGTCCCTTTATACAACTTTATGTAAAGTAGACGAACAAAATTAGTTACCTTCCTATTGGTACACATACTTTGGGAACGCCAATAAATGCATTTGTATTAATTTACATCAAGATTCTTGAATCACATAGAATAGTTAGCTTTTGTACCGGATGAATGGTTTTGGGTGTCGATTTTTTTGTTACCCAGAATATCACAGTCGTGCTGCAGAATTTTTGCGTCAGAACCCCATAGTCATGATGTAGCATTCTTCCGTAATACAAATACGCTAAGAGGATATTAGGTAATTGGTCCCGCGAAACGCGAACGAAGGTCATGAAAATGAATGACTGTACATTACATTACTTCATATTCCCTCGTGTATTTCATTGTCTAGTCTTCTTAGCTCGCGTTATTGTCATAAGCGGCTTATTGGGTTTATTTATCGTTCAGAATATAGAGACCCTTGATATTGCGGAAGCTGATTTTAGAATAGGATTGTCATGTTTATACAGGGGGAGAGGAAAGCCGATAAGACATCTTGAATATATGGTAAACAACGAGTTGCTAATGTATTTCAACATGATGGGAAACCCGATAAGACTGCTTGTGCATACGGAAAGCCAATGACTCTTGTTCGTTTATCACTCCATGTCGTGTATGCCGGGGTGGGCCTAAGGAAGGGCCATAGCGGCATCCGCCCCGGTAGGCAGGGGGAAGCAGATCCAAGCTGTAGAGATCGCGTTATAAATAACGCATGCTTCCCTCGATCTGTTTTTATTCAAGTAAAAGCTGACATTACGTTAATAATCCTATGTGACTGATTGTGGTGGTGGTAAAGCAGAAATGACCAAATGCTCTTATTTGTGTTAGTTTACAGCGAGATAGTTATCTTTTTAAGCAGGTTGGGGTGTCGTCGTTTTTTGTTTTTTTTTTGTAACTCAGAATCGCAATTAATTAATAAGACAGTCATTTCATCCTTAATTAACCATCAAATTATTTATCCTCATGTATAACAACATCTATAATTTATTTATCCCCCGAATTGTTTTTGAAGTTAGGTAAAACGGATTTCTCTATCAGAAACTCGCTCTGGCCAGCAGAAAAGTTCGGCACGCCCCTGTCTTGTGAAACTAGTGAACCAATTATTTACATCGAGAATAGGATTTCGTATCCTGAAAGACCCCCTGAAACTATATTTCGAACACCCCCTTTAATTTTGAGACTTGGCACCACACTTCAATTCTTAAGTACGTCAAAACAAAATTTGAATGTGGCTTATGTGCCGCACAACATTACACATTCTTATAAGTTACAAATAGTTCTATCACTTTCAACTAAATATCCCCCTAAATTTGGACCCCCGTCCTTGAATGAAAAAAATTGGGGAACACACTGCCATGTGCACCTAACAAAGTCAATGCTCCCTGTCACGTCAATCATTTATTTTAATCTAATCAAAATACCCTTTATTAGTCGAACATTGCTAAGTATAAGTTTAACAAAAATAAACGAAAATGACGTCAGAGGCAGAAGAGGGACCGATAGAGAATTATGAAGAATTCTTCAATGAAATATTGGACGATTATCAGAGTCTTGTTTCTGTGACAAGATTACCGGATTTTATGTTTAAAGAACCGGATTTACCTGGTGAGTAGTGACCGGAGTCTTTTTTGATTGCCGGATTTGAACTAGTAAATGAATTATTTGACGAAGTCACTGACACTGACGAACTCACAGTTATATTATTAGATAAGATGACCCAAAACAAAGTTTCAAGCTTAGCTTTCGACTAAAGCAGTGGTGTTCACAGTTATGCCACGCACTCTTTTTAAACCTCAAAATTAACTAGCTAACAATAAGCTACAAATAATAGATAGTAAGACGAAAGTATGTTTTATTCAAAAAACATGTTGAAAATACGTGGATGAAATCACAATCCCTAAACAATGAAGAAATGTAAAACATCCAACATAAGGCGAGCATGATCAAATCTGACAAATATTTTCATTTTTAATTAGCATCACACCCCCTTGAAAAATTGCCTAAGGGCCATTTTTGGGGCGCGCCCCACCGTTTGTGAACATCAACACTTGTCAATAGCCTTGTTCTGAGTGAATACACAAAACCTTATTTTCTCTTTACTCAGAAAACGAATACAAACACGGCAAAACCTGTGGAAACATTCTGATCAAGAATGAATCCAACAACCGACCTGGCAGCAGTGGCGGAATGTTATTTTCAGAACATTGGATGATTTTCCCGGAAATCATAGAACCGGCTATCATAGAAGCTGTAAATGGAGGTAAATTATTGTTTTTGGAGCGTTGGACTCAACCATTTTACACTAAAAATTTCGGATTGAAATCCCCTGCAGGCCGGACCGAAAAGATCCTGGTTTACTTGATATATAGTAACTCCTCCATGATTATGGCTGCTATCATGTTTCACCGAAAACAAGACAGGGTCTTATTTCAATTTTCTTTCGGAAAATAACAATAGGGATTTTTCTGGGAATGGTGTTTTATTTTCATTTATCGAAAACAAAATTACAAAGTAGAGAATTACGAGATTTTTAAATGTACAAAAAATGATTCCGATATCCATTTACTTATAAATAACACGTTTTTATTTTCGCGCTATCGACTAGGTATCAAGGGAAAGGAAGGGCTTATATTGAAATCAGTCTAGGTCTCATTTTCAGGCAAGGTCTTATTTACGGGGAAACACGGTAGTACAGGGCCTTGTTAAGAGAGAAATACATGTTAAACGCGATATAAACTAATCGCCGGATCAGAATGATTTCCGTATTTCTCTAAAATGGCGACTCCTTACATTTAGTGGCGATTTATGGGCCAAATGATGATTCGTTTCGTAAGCAGAAAATGTCATAGGTTTATATCTATAAATGTAAACTACGTAATGAAAGGCCTCAATTTGATCAATTTTCATATATGATAAAAAGTATATTTAACTGTGAAAAAATTATTCCAACTAGAAAATGTAAACTGTTGAACCACATTAAGAAGTGGAAAGTTATCACGAACTCATTTTTTTAAAGTGCAATTGTGTTTATGTGTTATATCGTGTGGATAAAAAGTGATGTTTTTATTAATAATTTCATAGGTAGGAACGCATTTTACCCCATGAATGCCCTAATAAAAGTGATTAAGACGTATTGTACGTACCAGCGGAAAACAAACGGGTCATGGGCTTTAACCAATGTCAGAGAAGCTCAAGCGCCACTTTCGAACCGAGCCAACCCGCATTAAGTTTTCTGGTTTCGGTCTTCCGTATTTATAAGCAACTTTCGGTATTGAGAGCAATATTTCTTCAAAAAGACGTTTCGTATCTTGAAAATTTTGTTTTTCGAGCCTTTCATTACTGGGGGTTCCACTGGGGAGCCTTTCATTACTGGGGGTCGATTCGTTTCGGTCTTCACTGCTTTGAACCCACTCGCGCTACTCGCTCGAACAAAATGAAGAAGAATGAAAAATTCCAACTTATGATTTCAGGTAAAGGTCCTAAAGAAATCGTTGGCAAATTCCATTTCTCACTGCACAACTTTACCGAAGTCAAAGTCAGTTTCACTTTCTTGAATAACGAAGTAGCTGAAGCATTTCGGACGAATTGGTCCGAAGGTGAAATCGGTTTGAAAATTTCGGACAAAATTAAGGAGACGGGATATGAAGACGAATTGTGTATTCGATACTTCAATTCAGATATTCTAGAGGAATTGAAGTAAATCGAATATGAAGTATCAATTTCGGACAAAAAAGACTCGAATTCCAGCTCATATATTATGTTCTTCACTAAACAATACCGTGGCACAAATATAATCAGAGTATTCCAGCAACTATCAATATTTACCATCTCGTGACGTCATGCAATTTATGACGGCATACATATTACTCTACACAAACGTATTATATTATGTTTCTAACCAGAGCTGGGGAGCCGGAAGATGTTCTTTTTATTTTTCTTGTTACATTTGTTTGCTTTCAATTGTGTCTGTTTACGCTATTTAATTCTTACAATAAAATGTATATTCGACAAGGAGAATTTTTGGAATCTCATGCCCATCACCAAGGGCGTAGCCAGTGATGGATTAATGTTCAGACCTCAAATTTTAAAATGTAAAAAAGGCATATCTTTGTAGCATACATAGCAATTCTCTGTAGCTTGAAACGCATATTGGAACCTCAAAACTCAGTTTGCATGTCAAAATCAGCTAATTTTAATGACAAAATTCTCCCCCGTGTCATCCGCAATTAGTGAGAACATACAAACATGGCGATTAAACGCAGTTGCAAAGTTTTTCAAGCACCAAAAATTTTCAGAATTGGCAATCCAAGCCGGCAATAGTTCGTTTTCCTTACTATCTTGTATTTTATTTTCTAATTGAATTTTTTAAAGTATTTCAACTCTAAGGTCAATGGAGTGTTATTTCCAAATTGAGCTACTCGAAAATTCGATCAACTGCATTTCAAATTCATGCAGAAGAAACAAACACCGAGTTCCATCAGACAACACTGAGGTTTTAAACTAGAAAGGTCTCATTTCTAAAACCTCGCTTGCGTGCCAAATAGCCGTCCTTGCTGACACGCGTGCCATAGGTTGCCCAGCACCCAGTGGCGTATCTGCGTTAAGTAGCGCCTATTGCGAGGTTTATAAATGCACTTTATTGATTGTTCACTGACAATATTTATAGATTGTTGTTGAATTGAGATACTCGTACATTATTATTAAAGTAAAAATGATCCAAATGCCGTCCATGACCCAACCCCCAACCCCACTCATCCACCAAAAAGAAAAAAAGAAAACAAACACCTCATTCTGAGCTGTGGCTTGATACATTCATTTCAACCCTAAATATATTTCTACTTGAATATCTAGTAAGTGGCGTATATATCTGTGCATGCTATCAGCCAAAGACTTGACACAAGTTGCAAATAGTTTTAATCACTAATAGCGAAATATTCACCATCCCCTGAAATATGGAAACTCCCAGTGGTGAGCTGTAGCCGGAACGCACCGGAACGGCGGTTGTTAGACATTTTATTGCATTCGCGTTCCTGTTGTTAATTAATATATAAATAAGGTTGAAAAAGTCTAGTTTTACTGGTAAACCTAGTTATTAATTTATGTTTTGTTGCCCCATAATTCGTAACTATTTTTTCATTACATCACGCAAATAATTAGAACATCAGTGACGTGTAATAGATGTTTTCCGACCTTTGACCCCATGAAAATTTACCCTATACCTTCTAATAATAACATTTGTATTGAATCACTATGAATACTCTTTGTAATTTTACACAGAAATATTTCAGATAGTTCATTTATATTTCATTTCAAGCTCATCACTGGAAACACCCCCTTAAAATGAAAAGCTAGAGACTGCTCAACGTTCATATTATACTACATTGTGAAATTCGACCCCTGCTATTAGGGAAGCCAACAGCGTATTGTAATCAGTGATCGTTAATTACTCAACATCCGCCAATCGCTTGCGATGAACAAGACGCGAAGACCTTGCATACTACAGTTATTTAAGATTTTGTTAGCAATTTGACTTGGCTGTCTTGGAATTGTGAGTAAGAGATTAAAAGTTTGAGACCAGCTCAGTTCACGATTTCAAATCACAACCTTGGACCGAAGTGTAACAAATAGGGTAGACAACGCTGAGCTATCGGGATATAGCTGATTCATGCGCGTATGTCAAAGCGGAACCTTGTACAGCAGAGGCTTCCAAACTTATCTGAGTGATTCAATGAATAGTTACCTTTACTCTTGCTACAGCAGTGGTTCCCAAACTTTTAAAGCTACGCCCCCTTTTTAGAATTTGTCAAATCTTGTGCTCCCCCAGAAAAAAAATAACTAGATAACAATAAACTACAAATAACAGATAGTAAAGCGAAAGTATGTTTTATTCGAAAAACATGTTGAAAATGCGTGGATGGAATCGCAATGAAGCAAGAAAGTCCATGCATAATGCGATATATTGTTTTTTTTAGTTATTCGGTTTGGCTGTGTTGGAATTATAGGGTTCGAGTCCTGCCAAGTTCACGATTTCGAATCGACACCTCACACAAAGTGTAGAAAGTTAGGTAGGCAATGCTGAGCTAGTAAATTATGCTTTTTCATAAGTATCGTAACGTATTTTGTAAAGTGTATTATAAAAGATACCTGAATATCTCATGCTTTACTAAACGTAAAACCACCAACACCACAACTAAATTTAAACAATGCCATAACACAAAAACAGTATAAAGTATGGAGTGCGGCAGAACTCTGACTTTGTAGCTTAAGAAACTCCAACGTTACATACTGTAGAGCAGATATGAAACTCTCTCTGATTTCGGTGAGTTAGTTAAATCTCCCGCAGCCAAAATAATTATATTTGTGAGAATATCAGTCGGTATAGGCCAAGGCATGAACAAGATATTAATTGCACTTCGTGGTAGCGCTACTTCCATAGCTGATGCACGGGCTTGTGTATTATTTCCTGGGCGCTCCAGAAGTGTGTGTACCAATATGTGGTAATTAATTTTGTTCGCCTATTTTACATCAAGTTGTGTAAAGGGACTGAAACCTATGGGCAGGGGGATATTCACTTGGCTAACACAGACAGTCCCCGAACTAATAATTGAACTTAAATAAGGAAAATCGGAATTAAAATTATTTAAACAACAACATAGATATGAGCCCGACACGGTTTTCTGAAATGAGGGAAGCGGTTGTTAATGAGTTCGATACAAAAAGGAACCCGTTCTAAAACTTTGAATCTTATGCGAGTCATATGTAGCAATATTTAGTAGGGATCGATATTGAAATTGGGATATCAACAACAACAACAACAACAACCATCCCAACAACAGCAACATAATACCTAGCAAAATGATGAATAATATGTCCGTGTCCAAAAACGCCGATTTCTCATTTTGTGTTATAACTATCAGCTCCGGTGGTTTTCTGAAATGACAGAACCTGTTTTTCCCTATGTCGGTGTCTAAAAGCGCCAATTTCTCAATTTAAATGGATTTTGCAAGTTACTGTTTCGACTTTAACAATTACGACTAATTGGAATAAATTTAATCAAATATTTTTATCTTTCGTTGGCAGTCGTTTTGGTATTTATTTGTATTCATTTTGCAGGTTTTTGTTTATACTTGTAGTATTAGCTCTATGTTATCAAATAATTGAAATGGATTTTTTCGAATATCTTCATCTGTTGTTGGCAGTGGTTCTAGTATTTAAAACTGTAAGTATACCTCTCTAACTTATCGCTGTTTTTTTGGTCGTGTTGACTTCAATCGGCCTTCACTACTCACATATGATGTACCAATATATTTGTATATGCGTATGATTTCAATAGCTCTCTGAATTTCGGTTGTCTTGTGTAAGTGTGCCCAAAGACGAGTCATCTTTACTTCTGAGTAATTGTGCGTAACGCACCACCATAATTGGACACGTTTAGTTGACATAACGATCGACTTGTTGTTCTTTGACACTTTTTGGACAACTAGTGGAAATATTAAAAAACCGCTTTTCTCTTTGATCACTGGAACAATTGCTTTGAAATTTTTAGTGGTTAAAGATGAAATTTTTATCCAGAAGGCTATTACTTTTATTTATTTCGAATATTTCTGTTAGCTCTGTGAGATTTGTTTTTGTTTACTATGACGTCACCGAAAGTTCTGCGGACATCGGACGCCATTTTGTGTCCTACTGTACTGCTTCGCTTGGTGTGAATATATTTGTAGACTGTGATCTGACGGTACGGTAAACCGTACTGTACTGCGAACAGACGTGTCCATATATTTGGGCGTAGCTCTCTTGTTCTTCATAGTTTCAGTAGCTTTTGGCATTCAGTCATTGTCCGTAACTTTGCTCATGAATAATCTGCTTACCTATGAGTGAGTAGACGTGCTCTGAGCAAATTATCTCTTGAGATGTGTAGCTTGAGATGCCGAAGTATGTGAACCAAGATGGCAGACCAGAACGTAGTATGTGTGCCAGGTTAGGGTTAGGCCATAATTCCAGGCAGTGATGATCTGGAAAATTTGTAACAACCGGAACGCGCCTAGTTCGCGAAAATGTAATATATTTACAACACGACGCGGACGTTTACAGAAAGTTTTGTCTGGTCTAAGATAGAACCGAAGAACTACAATGTAATATAAGGAAATTATCTGAACTGTGTCTATGTAAAATTACAAGAATATTCATAGCGATTCGATACAAATGTTATTATTACAAAGGTATGGGATGAATTTCCATGGGGTCAAAGGTTGGGGAAACATCTATTACGCGTTACTGATGTACTAATTATTTGCGTGATGAGATGTAAAAAGAATTACGAATTATGATGTAACAAAACATAAATTCATAACTAGGTTTACCAGAGAAACTAGACTTTTTGTACCATGATTTTATTTTAACAACAGGAACGAAAATGCAATAAAATGTCCAACAAACGGAACGCCGTTCCGGTACGTTCCGGCTACAGCTCACCACTGATTTCAGGTACAAATAATACGGGAGTCACTTGGCTAGTCCCCGAACTTGTAAAAGAACTTGTAAAATTAGGGCCTAACTCTAACCTGGTACACATACTGTGTTCCGGTGTCCGCCATCCTGGTTCACATACTCCGGGAGTACCGAATCTAGCACAATTAGGACTATCGCTTTAGCTGCTATGCCGTCGCGCTCCCATATTTCATTTTATAACATTCTTATCTTCTTATCTCCTCAGATTGTCCGAGCTGATAACGACGACCATGGACACGAACACACACAACCAAAATTGGATGAGTTAGCATCGATGGAAGGACACATGAAGCCACTTGGTTCTGTCGGTCCTTATTTCCAACTTTTTACAATCGAGGGTTTCCCTTCGTCTCCCAGGGAGTTTTTTAATAAATATGTCATCCCGTCCACCCCGGTGGTTATGAAGAATGCGGCAAAAGTTTCACCGGCTTTTACAAAATGGTGGGTAGAATATTAGAATTTTTTATCGGTACCGGTTCGGTTTATTGCTTAATCAGCTGTTTGTCAATTGGTATCGGTTAGCCGCTTTTATACCGACTTTCACTAAATGGTTGGTGAAGTGGTGGTATTGCGAACGGTGTGTAGAGTATGACATTGTGTCGGGTGTCTAGATGTTTTGTGAGTTGACCATCGGCTGGTTGATCGTTTAACCATTCTAATACCAGCTTTCGATAATTGATGAGTAAATTTGCAATCAGGTCAATCGCTATCGTTTACGGATATAGGCATCAATATTGGTTACTGGTATCGTTTAACCGTTTTTATACCTGATTTCATTAAATTTAAGGCAGAATAGTGACTTTATTTATGCAATTTTTGATCATTCGATATCGGTTATGGCTATCTGTTTCAATGCTGATTCCTGGTATTGGTACAAGTTACCGAATATTATCCCTACTTATTGGTTCCGGTCATCGGTTCTGGGTATTGGTTCATTTTATTGACTCCGGTTTTCAAAATTCACAGGTATCGATATCTGCTATTGGCGTCGCTCGACACAATCAGACTACTGATCATTCGTTATAATTGTTGCTTATCGTTAACGATGAATAATTTTTTATCGGTTTAGTCAAATTGTTGCCACGGTGTTGGCAGCGGTACCGGTTATTGGAAACGGTTTTGATTATTAGTATTATCGTTATAATTGAACGTTTTTCATTTCTTCTCAGGACGGATTCATATTTCATCAGCCATCCTGAATCCGACAGGATGGAAATATACGCTGAAGGAAGAAAAAAAGAAATCCGAACCGAACCAGGTTCGACAATGACGTTCAAGCAATTCGTTGAACTCTATAACACAACTGATATGTATATGGTGAACGGACTACCAAAGCATTTGAGGTGGGTAAAAAATTTTGTCCCCTAATTCGGACTTTTTCGCATTTGTATCTCCCCTTTCCACGACATGCGACACTGCAGATCATGTTTTTGACAAGACATCCCATTTATTTTTTGGCGCTCCAGAAGTATGTGTACCAATATAAAGGTAACTAATTTTGTTCGCCGGGAGGGGGGGGGGGGGTATATTTACTTGGCTAACACAGACAGTCCCCGAAAATCGTAATAGAACTAAACTAAGGAAAATCGCATTGACATTATGGCCTAACACTGACCTGTTACACATACTTGGAGAGTACCATTTTCTTTTCACCCCATTCGGAAGACAAGCATCATTCAAAACTTTGAAATAAATTAAATTTGTCACTTAAGATCAGGACATTGGACTTTGATATCCCCTGTCAAGGCGTTATCTATCCTGTTTATTACCACTTTGGTGAGGTCTTGAAATTGGAACACGATTGTCCCTAGCCCAGGAGTGTACAACCTTTAATACGAGAAGGCCAAATACACCTTCGGATAGCGGGACGCACCTTTAGTTATGCTGTATATGGGTATTGATCTCATGACAGGCGTTGTTCGCTTCGCAAAAACTAACTGTTAAAGCATTGTGACGCCATAGATAATAAATTGGACTCTGGTATAGGCTTCGCAAATGGATTGAAATTATTCGCAGTAACCAGATTACCCCCCCCCCCTCTTCCTCCAGCTCGCCGTGCCAACACATATTATTTCTTTGCACTAATTAATAGGCCATCGCGCCCATTCAAAGTATACGCAACTCCCATGATATTACTCAGTTTCGAATTACTCGCCAACAAACACCTCCGCCTGTCGCTAATTACATCCGGCGATTCAAGAAAGTGCAGACAGTCATATATTCACTTGGCTAAAACAGACGGTCTCGAACCCGTAAGAAAACTAAAACGAGAATATCGGCCAGAGACCGAGGACTTATCGATCAAAAGTTAGGGGATCCCCCAAAACAGCGCTCTTACTCCATAGTGACATCTTGTGTCCCATCACTAATTAATTAATAACTCGCTAATTAAACGACATAATTCGCCCAAAATCAATAGGCTTCTGGTCCGAGATATGATAAATGCACATGAAAAATCTGGGGCAGATTCAATCTCGTTTTCGTGAGATATCGCGTGCATCTAACAGACAGACAGACAGATACCTATCAACATACTTACCAATTAAAATCGATAAGTAACGATTAAAATCGATAAGTAATAAGGAAAATTGGAATAAAATTATGGCCTAACACTAATCTGGTACACACACTACGGGAATACCCTATTTTCGTAGATTGAGGCGCCCTTTAGTCTCTTAACTCTTGAAAACCAACGTTTCCTACCCGCTAGCTGTTATGGTCCAACTTAGTAATTACAAATTTCCGAATCCTCGTTTGAAATGAAAGTTTGTTGATACGCCCCTGTAATAAAAGTTATATAAAACATCATTGCCAATATAAAACAGGTTATACTTTACTGTACAATTAACTCTTATCGATTTCTTTAGGCCGGATGTCATTATACCGCCACCGCTGCAATGTGACCCGGTCGTAGAAAACTTGTATGAAATTGTAAGTATTATAATGACCTCACCATTAGCTATTTCATAAAAATAACTTAACTATGTTATCAAAGGTTGGGAAATACAGTAAACTGATCTTCACGACAAACAAAATCTAATTTGACCAAAATTAATGAAAATGCAAATTTAGGTCCTTGTGTCCACATTCTCCATATGTTAGCAGGGGTTAGTAAGGTTTTTGGATCAGAGGCCGAAAATTTTGCCCACCGGGACTGGCGGGTCACGTAAATGTTACGTAACAAGTTACATTTCATGAACTAAATGCGTAAACTATGAACAAGAAAAACGTTAAAAGAGTTATACGGACGTTAACAAAATTTTGTCGGCAATAATTTGAAACTGCAGGCTGTGCGTGCAAAAGAAAGAGGTGTGAAAAAGCACGCCGTCGAATCGAGTGAGAAAACGTAAAATTTTGTTAACGTCTCCATAACATGATAATCTGTGGCAGCCTAAGATAAAACTTACACAGATTACGATCATAATCTAACAAGCCTATCGCACCATACAGATTACAACAACAACAACAGCTATGTGGTACACGCAGAATTTATTAAAAGCAGAAATTTATGGCAGCATCAGGCGGGCCAGATTGAATCACCCAACGGGCCGTAGTTGGCCCGCGGGCCGTAGTTTGCCCATGTCAGGGTCAGAATGTAAAAACTGTTTAGTTATGCCGATTTATATTTTACCGGGTTTTAAATGACAAACGCCTATTATCATATTTCGCGCCTTTTCGCAGGTCACGTGGTTCAGCAGTGGGGGAACGAAATCACTTCTGCATATTGATGAAGTCGACAATTTGAACTGCTTATACAGAGGAAATAAAACATTAGTGTTCGTGAACCCACATGATCATAAAAATGTAAGTTTACAATTACATCAATAAGTAATGACGTCATCATTAGTGATGTCACTGAATATTGACGTCGAAAAATAGCTCATTACTCGATTGGTAACATTGAAATCAATGTTCCAAGTATGTTCAAATTTACATCCCAAAAGTTGTGACGTCTTTAATAGTGACGTCACAGAGAACTAACGTAAAAATATTCCTAACATATCGGTTTGCTATTCAATGAGATACGCGAAATTCGAAAACCAAATTTACATCAAAAATTATGTAATAACGTGTATTAATCGCTTATAGTATACGCAATGAAATATCATAACAAGACTTTTATCCGGCGCGAAGTGGACATACAGATCGTTTTGATATTATGTTGTTGTTGTTAAAAGTTCCCCGCCCCCTCTTGTTCTTGTTATGATAAAAATCGATTTTCTCTCCAATTACCGGACAAATTGCTTTGAAATATTCAGTGGTCATTGATTGTTGTTGTCACTAGAAGGTGATTACTTCAATTTTTTTCAAAAGTTCCCATAGGTTCTATGAGATTAGGTTTTGAGTGTGATGACGTCTTCAGAATTGAAAATTGCGCACCTTGTGGCGGTTCCCCGTTCGTTGCTGTGTGTTGGAGAGGCGAAGTCGTGAAGACTGTACCGGTAGTTTTCTATGACATATTGTACGGGTTTCGGCTTTCGTGTCCACATATTCATCGTGCATTGCTTTCTTGCTTATAGTGTATGAAAATAAGATAAAAACGATAATTACTATTCCTAGCTCTGGAAAAACCTAATCGACCGACTAGATGGCGGTTACTCGTCAATGGACGTGGATGCTGTCGATTACACCAAGTTCCCTGACCTCGCTAAAGTCCGGTATTCGAAGGTTGACATGCAAGCGGGAGATTGCCTATTCATTCCTTATGGATGGTAAGAAAGTTTTTTGTTTATAGGGAATCTGATTGAAAGTCAGCTGGGAATCTGCAAGAGTCATTCGAAAACTTTGTCAAATCCCAAATCCTAAATTTTGCAAACCCCAAATTCTAACCCTGGGTGTATATGACACCATGGGCGATTCTGCATTAAAACAAAATTATTGAAAAGAAACGAACCTTCAAAATTGAAGGAGACAAGATTCGACCTTTATCACCCATAACCTTGATTAAGGCGAAGATGTGAATTACGGCAGACACATCAGATTCTCTAAACCAAAGTTTTTTTGTCGTATGCACAGTGACATCCTCAATACCAAACGTAACCAGATATAATAATATCTTGACGTCTTACGCATAGTGACGTCATATATACCAAATGTGACGAATCATTCGCCAAAACCTCGCAAAATATTTCTCAAACAGTATCTCTCTTTCTCAGGTATCATCAAGTGAACTCATTCGGAAGCAACTTGGCAGTCAATCTCTGGTGGAAACATCGACCTCAACAATTCTTCGATTTGACGGAGGAAGTTTGCGGGGATTTCACCGGAAGAAATACGATTGCAAACATTTCCTATCCAGGTATGATTTGGTGAATACTGATTGTATTTTGTAGGGTGGAAATTAAAAGCTATGACGTCAGGTTGATGCCATCATTGTCTCGGATCAACGGAATTCAATTCTGGGGAGTATTTCAAATTTTATTATGTCATATTTCGTGACGTCATTATATTTGTTCGATAAAATAAGATTTATATACTGAAAACAAATTTTGATGTTTTGACTAATTTTAGCTCAAGGAATTTGTTGAGGTTGGGATTAAATCTAGTTTTGGAACAATGCTTTTGCTTTTGTAACACATTAAGTATTGTTCTTAAAATGTAACTTTCTACGTCACATGGCCCGCCAGACCAGAAGAAAGAAATTTTTTGGCCTCTCAAAAAACCTTGTTCACCCCTGTGTTATTCACTGATTTCACTGCTTGTAATCATGTTTTTTTCCAGATATGGACGAAGCAGAATACGATAAATATTTATCCGCTCCTGGCGACGACGAACCTTCGGGGGATGAATATTCAAAATACAGTGAGTAGTATGAAACATAGTAGAACATAAAATTTTCAAAATATGGAGTCAGAGTCAAGTTTTTTGAACCCGGAACCGGATTTTGGAATCACTCCGGATAGAGTTTTTCCGGTATTTCGCCGCGTTTATCAGATAAGCCTAATCAATGGGTACTTCCGACAAAGCGCTGTTTGAAGTGAAAAACAACGTCTTCTTGAAAAAAACATAATATGCAATTCAAAAGTTCTGCTGCACACTAACACAAATGTGTTTCTGCAACGTTTTGTCTGACCAAAATCAGATTTCCTCAGACAAGCAGTTTACAACAATGACATTGTTAATGTTAGATGAAACGTTACAGAAATACATTTGTGTTTATGCGCAGCGAGACTCATGAATTGCATAGTATGGTATTTTTATACCTGCTACAGCATCCTTGCATTAAAGCAGTGTTCCCTCTAATGTGGGCGCGTGTGCCCGCGCACACAGCTTTCAGAGGCTGCGCACACGCATAGATTTAGTGCGCACAGGCGTATTTCGATGTAATGTAACAATGTTCTCAGTTGGCAGGTTGAGAAAATTTGTTGTTGGCCCACTTATTACCGGGTTAGAACACCAAAATTTCTTCATTGGTTTTTGCACAAGTATTAGTCATTTCCAAAAAAGTGCGAACACACCAAAATTTCTGCGCATACATACTACAAAAAATTAGAGGGAACATTGATTATAAGCATACGGATCCACTAGCATAAAGGCATTGAGGAAGGATTGGGAGTTAGTCTCTACTGATAGTTCTTGAAAAAAGTTTAAAATCTTTTTCTAAATTACAGGTAAACCGAATATTCAACCAGAAGGACAGGGCTTGACGTAAGTTATTCTTAGTACGGTGCGACGGGTTTTTCCTCAAAAACAAAAAACTTCGCTTATTCAAACCTCTTCAAAATACTACAAAACGTTAATTAATGCTTATTGAGTAACAGTCGGAAATTATTTCGGTGCTCCCGTAGTACGTGAACCAAGATGGCGGACAATAAAACGTAGTAGGTGTACAATGCTAGAGTTAGGCCATAATTTTATTCCCATTTTACCTTATTTTAGTTCCGTTACGAGTTCGGGGACTAGCCAAGTGACTCCCGTAGTATTTGTACCTGAAATTATGGCCTCACCCTAACCTGGTACACATACTACGTTCCGGTGTCCGCCATCTCGGTTCACATACTTCGGGAGTACCCTTATTTCTGTGCTATGGATGTTTCCTCAATAGTACGATAGTTGCGATGGATAAAATTAGCTACCCTTTTTTTTCCCCGAAAATAAGACCTAGCCTGAAAACAAGACCAAGCTCGAAAATGGGTCCTAGTGTGAAAATAAGTCCTAGTCTGAATTTTAAAAATGATTTTAATATAAGCCTTCTCCTCAAAATATGACCTAGTCGATAGAGCTTTAAATAAGAAAACGCATTATTTATAAGTGCGTGGATATCGGTTTTCTTATTTTGTGTATTTGGAAATCTCGTAATTCTCTACTTTGTAAATTTGTTTAGATAAATGAAAAGTCTTATTTTCGGGAAAACACGGTATGAGTGCTTCTACATGGCAGGTGGCTAAACATTTTGAATCTGTATGATCGTTGTGAAATATGTGAAAGTTTTAGGCTTAAAATTCTAAAATTGTTATGAAAATGAGCGTCATGAATTTTGCAATTGATTTGTTTCCCTCGAGTGATGTGGCTTTTGGGGTAGAAATCGTGTTTCTCTACAACGTACCGGTAGCGACATTAACTACCTCGGTCGATTTGATTCGTAATCTTGAATAATCATATGACCGCGTATTCACATAGACCAGGGCTACTCAACTGGCGGACCGGGGTCCGAATCTGGACCATTCGACCATTCAAAATGGACCACGTCTGCAGCATAAGCATCGTGTTATAGTTCTTGATGATTTTGAAACTATTAACATACACGGCTATACAGTTTACCGGACCGATACCGATGTGCGGCATTTGTGTCCATATTTGTGAGTCCTTAATAAGGAATTTGTTTATTTAATAAAATAAATTTTCTGAAATGTGCGGACCTCAGTAATTTTGAAGTTTTGTAAACGGACATTTAGTGAAAATAGTTGAGTAGCCCTGACATAGACTACTGATATCGAATGTCGAATACTTATCGAAGATATTTAAATCTAATATAATATGTTAACGACGTAATTGTATGTTTCATCACTAAGAGAAACATGTTTTATCAATAACATACTAGGGAGAAAAGAGTCATATGTCAGAATAGGATTCTTTAGGTATGACATCCCAATGGAAATTGGGTGATTCACCTGGGAACAAGATGGCGGCGATTGAAAAAAAAATTTCTGAGCTCATTTGAATATTTTTCTACTCGATTCGGAATGCGCAGCTCTATTGATTGTAATGCGTTTATGATTCAACAAATGCGGATCAACCCGCAGAAATTTTCACTTCATATTTTTCTGTTTCGTGTAATTCACGTGAACACCTTTATATGACATTCGGAACACACCTCAATATTTCAATATTCGACCCAAAATCTCATAAAGAATTCAAAAATGTGGGCAGTCTTTTAAATCTTCCTGCATATTTTAACATTGATCTCTCATTTCCTCATTGTTATTAAATACTGAAAGGCATTTAAAGTATTATTAAAAAAATTTGATACAATATTTGTTATTAACGTACATCGAAAACAAATTTAATTATTTGAATATCATTTATTCCAGGGATACGGTGTACAGGGCGGTTATCAGATTCAAGAAACCAGTGAAAATGAACGGGTTGAAGTATTATCTACAAAAAGTAAGTTGAATATTCTAATAAGTTTTCTTTTCATATACTGTTAAGTGCGCTTAACAACTTCATTTTTTTTTTGTCTTCGATTATCATCCTAAATAAGGGAGCGATCCTCGAACATATGGGCACGAAAGCCATAGCGAATTATTACGTGTATGCAATCTGTCACAGTAGACCATCGGTACGGCAATCTTTGCGACTAACGCAATTGCGAAATCGGCACAGGGCGCGGAATTTTTGATGGAGTCAACACACAAAAAACTAATACCATAGAGCCTGCAAAATTTTTTGAATAAATAAAAATGATAGTTTCCGGCTACAACAACAATCTTTAACCACAGAAAATTTAAAAACGATTGGTCCAGTAGTGAATGAAAAAAGGATTTGTTCATAAGAAAAACAACATCAACAACATAATGAAAAATGTCCAATAATAATTTCTCATATATTAATAAATGCTTATACATAGCTCTGTTCTGAGTAGAAAACATTGTTCGAAAAATTAATTTTTACGAAAAATATTTTCTCTACAGAAATTTATACAAGATCAGATATGGGATGACCGTTGTCAGGAAGTTCTAATGAATTTCTTCGGTTTGTTGGATCAGAATAAAGACACCGCACTTACAAGAATAGACGCTAAATTGTTTTATGAAAAAGATGATGAGGTAAGTTTCATTGGCCCAAAACATCAGCCTACCACTGGCGTAGCCCCGAATTTTCAAGTGGAGGGATCTGAAATTTCTAATTTCCAATTTAGACTGTATCAGCTAGCGGATCTAAGACACTTAAGGATCTAAAAAGCGTTTCAAGCTACAAGGTTTTTTTGCATTTCAAAATAGAAAGGTTCGACCCAAAACACATGCACTCTCTACGCCCTTGAACCCTGCATTGCGTTGGATATTTGGGCTTGGAAGGGTGCCTTGTTTGGAACGGGAGGCGTGAGAAATAAAAAGACGTCATAAAAATAGAGAGTTTTAAAGCCTCCCCTTGATTCACAACCCAGATTTTTTACAATTTATTTTTTTATTTTTGTGAATTTACAGACTCTTTCCCAGTTACAAAAGAAAGGCTCTTATTTGGAAATGGAGCTCCGAGTGGCCAAGGACTCGATCGTGGCAGAAAAGAATGAGGTAAGTGACCAATTTCGTGAATTGTTTCCTAAATTTTACTTTAAACAAGGCTCCCTCAACAAGGAGATATTTTGGCGCTCGGGAAGTGTGTGTATCAATATGGAGGTAACTAATTTTGTTCGCCTACTTTACATCAAGTTGTGTAAAGGGACTGAAACCTATGGACAGGGGGTATATTCACAAGACTAACACAGACAGTCCCTGAGCTCGTAATAGAACTAAAATAAGGAAAATCGGAACGATTGGTAACCTGGAACCACTTTCCCTTTCAACTGCCTAAGAGTAGGGCTGGGCATTTTCGAATACCCGAAGATTCCAGAATCGAATCGATTAATTTTTTCGAATCGAATTTTGAATACTTGGGAGTTAAATAATTGTATGTAACTTTACTATTGCATTGGGTGTTTCAGACACATAAATTACTGGAAACGTAACATACATCACTCAGACAGATTGCTGAGCGTTCGCACACAATAAAAACACGTTTTCATCAATACCTTACCACAGAAAAGAGTCATATGTCAGAATTCCGTTGAAAAAATATGGCTTCAATAAAAAAAATTGAGAAATTTAACTCGACCATTGGCGGAAAGAAAAAAAAACAAGATGGCGGCGATTCGAAATTCCGCTCTGAACCGATTCGAATAATTTACTATTCGATCCGATTCGAAATGCCCAACCCTACCTATGAGTTAATGCAGCGGTGTGCAACAGGCGGCCCGCGGACCACAACCTGGCCCGCCAATCCGTTTAGTGTGGCCCTTGTCAACACTCAAATTTTTCCCACCAGGTATAAAATCCTAAGTCGACAGTTTTTAGGGCATAAAAATGCATAGTGTTTTTGTGTTCTAGCGTTAAATCTTTTCCATAGACATTGTTTTGCTGGGTTTTTTTTTTGATCCACGGAAAACTTTTATATGACATATGTGTCTCATTTAATTAAAGGGAGCACTCTTGTATGATAAATATATAGCTGCTATTTGGGCTGATAATTTAATGAAGCAAATTTTACAAAGTATTACAATAAAATGGTGTAGAAGTTTACTTCGTAGACACTGGTTTAAAAAAAACATTAAAAAATTCTTTGTTTATTCTTAATGCGGAGCCTTTTTGATGCCCAAATTGATGTTTCAAAGAAAAACTTGCTGTTTCCTAGACGCTTCATTTCTCACTTTGCTATATTTTCTAGAAATTAGTCCAGAAGTTACTCGATCGCGGCGAACTTGACAAAGAACAGATTGCAACAATATTTGGCAACAAGTTGGTGATGTCTGTGCCGAGTCAGCATGGAAACGACGAACTATAGGATTACTGGATGATTTGATTTGTCTTATTCGCTCTCTTTTCTTTAGGGCAGTGGTTCTTGAACTTTTTGTGTCGCGCCTCCTTTTTAGAATTTGTCAAGCCACGTCACAAAGCTAATAATTGATTATAGAGTGACTTCGTTTGCATACTTTCCATTAAAAAAAAATTCCCCGTTCACCTCAGTTTTATTACCTGAATATGTTATTTCCGGTCACGAGGTGTATTCACTTTCTTGTGTGTGTGTGTGAATGTTTGATCATAATGGAATTTTGAATCTACTAGTCACAATAGCTCGTTGGTAGGTGGTCTTCTAAGCTGCAGACGGGCAGTTTCGCTAGACTGTGAGATAACCTTCGATATCATATAACCGCAGAAGCTTATATGTAAATTCTCAATGTCCGTAATACTAAAATGGAACGGCAGTTACGTTGGCTTTATTGGAGAAATCGCTGCTTATGTGTGCCAACATGTTTGCTTTGAAATCAACCAAGAAGGCTTTTCGAGTTTATGGTTATCCCTTTTCTATTCTTACCTACTACTTAGGAAAGCTTCTTCATTGCTAGTTCAATTTGCCACAACCTATCTTGGCGAATCTATTTTTTTCTGATCTTTTTACCAACAAAGCAAAATCTAGGAACCGTCCGCATGTTGACAGTGACAATCGCCTGGCCATATGAAAGACGGTGCCTTAATCGAGGAACCCAGTTAGACAGTCCCGAGCGCAAGATTTCCATTGATTGTGTACTAAAAAGCTTTGACTTTTTTGCCCGTGGTTTATTATGGTTTGTTAAATACATGATACAATTTAACATGTCAATTTTGTTTAGAATGATGAACAGGGGTCACGGGGCCACGAGTGCAAAAAGCCTCCGGAAGGGGGCCGCGAACAACTGCTCTAAACAATAAAGAAATGTGAATAACCAAATAGGGCGGGCAAAATCAAATCTAACAAATGTTTTCATTTTTATATAGTTTCACGTCCCTCAAAAAAAGTGTCTACGCCCGTAGTGGAATTTTTCATTCTACATTTATTGCAGTTCTACGATAGTGTATTCTGTATTGGATATGGAAATATCATTGTTATCAATTTTAGATTTAATGACGTCATGGTCGGTGACGCCAATGGTTGATATTTATCAGTTCCCTATACAGACTTTAAATTTGATGATGTCTCGAATTACGGTTTAGAATCACAAAATAAGCAGATCTGTGAAAATTCTTTTGTACGAAGGGAGGGAGGGGGGTGGTTGACATTTACGACCCCGCCACTAATTCAAAAATCTGAGATTTGAGAAAAACTCCCCCGCGACGTTTTTAATTAACATATTAGTAAATATTCGGACTTCGTTCGGGTTATGATTTGAAAATTTGAATTTCCAGCAGAATCTTCATTCCTAACTCTAACTGGATACTAATTTTCCTATTTTGAGCGTTGGCGTGGGCTTTATACAAATTTCAAAGCAATTGGTCCGGTAGTTGGAGAGAAAAGCGAATTTTCCATAACAATAAAGAGGAAAATACTAAAATTAATATAATATGAGCGATCCATAACCTTTGCATCTAATGACAACACGATCCATAGATCCATTTCGTTTAAAAAAAAACATATTCCCTAAGCGGGTCACGTGGAGAATGATGCTCCGTTCATGCTGAGAATAGCGAAACTTAATCCAGTCGAAACCAAGGTTCTGACACTGCATACAACCCAAGATAAACAAACAAATAAAGTAATAAAAAAGTGAAAAATCTACACTCGTCACTGAAGCAACAGAGCACCACAGCGATTCTTGCTGTTCGATTACATCCACGCTACGACGATAATAGCTGGACTGCAACAAGTAAATGATAACAACCGTAACCCAAGTGGCATAAGAAAATTAACCATCAGCAGCCCAAGTAAATTAATCATCAGTAGAGGTTAGGCGTGGCTAACTTCCAATCTTTCCTCGACTTCCCTGTGAATATGGCCAGACGAGACGTTACAAAATAAATTTGTGTTAGTGTGCACCAGGTCTTGTGAATTGCATATGTGACTTAACACTGAAATCCGTTATTTGATTGTTCAAAAGCTATGTATCAATCAATATTTTAAATCAAGTCCCGCCTCAGTAGCTATTCACATGGTGTCACGGACCAAAGTGTCCGTGTTTATGTTTATATGCCTATGTCTTATTCAATGCTGTTCTGTCGGGTCTGAGTATTGTGGTAACATATTTGTATTAAAAGACTACGATCACCCAGTACACGTGCTAGAGAAAATATATCTGTTGCTCTCCTTTCGTCGGAAAAGGCTGGAGGTCAGCTGGAGGTCAAACAATCTCGGAATCTTGTGACTTATTTACATACAATAGCAAAAACTAAACTGTGACAACACGTAGCTGAAAGGGTAGATTAAGAAGTTTCTAAAGACGCGGACATTTGTAGACAGACAGCCTACAATACAGTACAGATATGGCCAAGCACTGACTTGCATGTAACAAAGTGGGCTGTCGTATATTTTCCCAAGTTATAAATTATTGCAAAAACTATTATTGTACTAATATTCTGGAGATAACTACCGGTAATAAGGCCTGTCTCTGTACTGCAAAGTTTCAATAGTACTGAAACTTTATTATATTATTTTCTCAAAGCTAAGTTGAGATAACTAGAGTATAAAGTAAGGTTAACTCGATGAAAGGGCTCACAAGATTATGTTTGATTGGAATAGCGTGTGTCAATCACGGTGACCGTACATTTGAACCCACGTACATTTGAACCCATGCGTATATCCACGGGTTCAATCTATATGCGGGTGCTAAAACCCATGGGTTAGGGTTAGTATGGGTTCAACTATCCGAAAAACAAAAAAAAATCCATAGGTACAATAGCATACAGGTGCAATTGTCATGGGTTCAAATGTACGTGGGTTCAAATGTAATGGAACCGTCAATCACCGCTACTTTCTCGCTGCCGATGTGTTGAGTGGTTTTCCCAAGGTTCTAGAAACTGGTGGGTATGCGGATTAATAAGGAAGAAATTTTAATGCTCAGGGTTATTTTCTTCAATCATTAAGTCGGCTGATGACTTCCAGCTTGATAGATCTACAAAAAAACATAATTCTTTGCATTATGACATCACATAGTTATTGTGCTGTCACAGATTCACAGAGACTGACTTCAGTTGAGCGTGACATGCTTTGTGATTTGAAGTTATGGTGGCAGGGTGTTGTTCGTTTATAACTTGGTTTTCCAAGTGTATTTTATCTGTCGTATTAATCATGGTACAGTAAATCGTATTTATACAATGGTGCAGACTTCTCTCATGTCCAATTTCGTATCGAAAGCTTATTCTGCTTAGAGTTTTTGGGGCAAAGACGGTAATATTTTGTTTGTGGAAACAAGCGAAGATTCGAACTGCTTTAGGTTAGTTTTTTCAGAGTAAAATTAAAACCCGTTTAGTTAGAAATGAATAGACAACACCATAAGTCACGTCACCAGGAAATGGAAACCTTGCAAAAGCGCCTGTATTGTGTATTTAACCTGATTCACTGAGACGCGTACATGATTTGTCTGTCGTCGTTATGGTTGTAACGGGATTCATTTGCCCACAGTTTTATCTGTTTCCTTCGTTATATATAATCCTAATTCACACGTTTATCTGCAGCAAATATTCTACTTTGGGCTTACTTCCCTCGGAAATATTCTTCTGGCAAAGACAGGAAGAAGTTGTGAAAGGAAGAATAAAAGCTTCGAAGGTACCCAAACTTTTTATGTTTTTTAAATCTAGGTTGCGACTCGTCAACCTAATTTACGGTGATACCGCTAACGAGTTTTTGAGCGACAATTAACGCGTAAATGCTACTTAAATTTATGCTACGTAAATACCGCTTACGCTAATCTTGAAGTCAATGCTTAACAGTAGATGCTTTAAAGATGTCAACCTGATTTAGCGCTATGTGGTGAATCAAATGTACGATTACGCTGATTGTACGATTACGTAGGTTAGAATGGAATAGCAAAGGAGTTTCCGCTTCAGGTGCTATAAAAATTGTAGGGGTGCTGATAAAAATATAAGGTGTCAGTGAGTGAAAAAGTGAATTTTGCTTATATCCCAGGCCTAAGGGTAAATAAACCATTATACAAGCACATGGCGTACAAATCATAGGCCTATCATTCAGTTATCTAGCCGGACTGGATATGGCTAAGTAGATAATCGTACCAGGTGCACATGAGAAGAGTGGGAATTCCTTGCCGGCCCGTACCCACGCGAGGTAATAAATGACATGAGAATCATGGTTGATCATTGCTGTTGAGCGGTGCCACACTCCGTTGTTTACATCCCATCGAAATTATTACGACGCTATTATTTTTCTTGTCAACAATGATTAACGTTTAGCGCCAACGTTTCGATTTACTGCAGTTTATCCCGTTTTGAGAGTATGCCGGTTAATTCCATTATGTTTGGCTATACCTAGTGACTGTCAAATTTTGTTGACAGTATTTCTATCATACGTATGACTCTATTCGTCTAAACTGCAGTTCTTGTTTGTAGTTTTGATATGACGATAGTTCCTTTGAGCCTGGCTGTACTCGATGATTATCAAATTTCTCTGCCTTTGTTTTGTATTAGGATATGTCATAGTTTCTTGAAGCCGTACGGGTTTATTGGTCTGAATGCGTTTCTTACTAGCCGTTTGGAATATAGGATGGTGGTTTATTTTAAGATTGTATATGACACGTGACTATTTGATTTTGTTGTTACGTTTTCCATTTAGGTTGAGATGTGTTTTGGTTTCTTTAATCCAGGGGTTCTCAACCTTTTCTCTGTTAAGTACCCCCCAAAGTCACGAAACAATCAACGCGAATCGCCAGAGTCACGAAACAATCAACGCGAATACCCAGTAATCTGACACCAGACTAAATTGTGATACATTGACTAACAATTTGCTGCAACGACTGCCAAGCCGTGCATTTCACATTGTTGCTTCACAATCACCAACAACGTAAGATCAGGGAAATGTACGCTGAGTTTCAATTGGCACTCATTTTCCTCTTCTAGTTACTCTCTTTGTTAAAGGGTATTAAAAAAAGCAACACAAGAAAACTCGACTGTCATCCAAGTACCCCTGGAAATCTTCTCGTGAACCCCTGGGAGTACGCAAACCCCAGGTTGAGAACCCCTGCTTTAATCCATATGGCTATATTTGGTTCGCAGCTACTTTTACTGGGTGCATTGAGTATTTGATGGTTTAAGTTTGTCTGTACTGTACGTGATTATCTAATTTCGTTGTCTGTTCTTGTTCGTTAGATTCAGATGTGTTTTGAAGTCGTGTATTCTGTTATCGTAAATTGACTTCAAAAAGCTAGAAATTCTCACAACCAGTATTGAAATGAAAAGCAAGTTCCAAACGCTTGCATGAATAGTTCAATACTGAAGCACTCTTTTTACAAATATCTAGTAGAGGACTCTATAGAGTAATACGGCAACTGTAACAATTATGCCTTACACATAATCAGGGATGGCCAATTCCAATAAAGTATTCGAATGTATTCGAATATCTCGTCATTCGAATATCGGAATTCACGTTCATAAGAATATCGGATATTTGTGTGACGTCACACATTTTCGACGCCGCTTTCAAGACGTTTCCGTTGAATGAAAACATTCTCGATAGAAACTTGCGCGTGATTGTTTTTATCACTCATCAGCGTAACGTGTTATTTAGGCCCGTTTACGCCTTTACGATTGCGTTATTTTCTCTAAAACGAAAATTTTCCACAAATTTGTTCCACGATACCGATAACATATATTTTTGTACGCGCACGGAATTGTGAATCTGGTAAATACGTTCATCGGCGGCGAGTTTCTAAAGACAACGCAACTTTTTGATTGAAAAGCGGCAATTTAAAATACTGAAAATAAAACCGTAAACAACATAAGTTTTATTGAGGCCCGCGAAAATTTAAAAAACGCTTTTCTAGGCAGTGAAAATCGCAAAATTTTGTGTGCCTCTGGCACACATTATGTTTGGTCGGCGTTTAGAAACATATCGTCACTAATTGAGGGTGGGATTTGCCTGATTATCCATTACTTTAATAAGCCGTCGAATATTTTCGGGTTAACACGATACAAGGTTTGAAACGCGACTTTTTCCCTGGTTGTGAGGATGTATATAATATAATTAATCTAAAGTATATTCAATCAATTTTATTGTGATAAAATAAATTTTACTCTGAGCATTTCGATCGAGCGGAGTCACTGTTAACAAGTACATCTAAATATTTGCCACATTCGCAAAATACGGATAAAAACAATATTTAATCGGACAGTTTACCTCACGTTTTTATTTTTAAGGCCGCGGATCGCAATGGTATATAAGAGTGGTAAGGATTTTATTTTGTCGACGCAACCGCAGGTTAAATTGAAGACAATTAAATTAATAACTCTTTTAACAGGTGGCATAATCGCGGCGATGAGTATGTATTTTTAATTTACTGCTAAACTTTATATGTATATTCATTGTATGAAATGAATTATTCTCTACACAAGATTTTATATAATTATTTGAGATTTTTCTAACGGCGATAACGAGGTGGCAAGATTGCAAAAATACATATTAAAATTAAATACATCAAGCAGTTTATTTCGTAAATTTAGGTCACAGATTGCCGTGGACCGAATAGTAATGTTTTTTTTTGACGTGATAAGAAGCAACCGCGAGTTATGTTGGACACATTAAATTGATATATAAAGATATTTTAGAATCTCGTAGTTGTCATGGATTGAATATTTTACGTGACAGGATGATCATTATACGCTGACAAGACGGCTCTTTTAACGAGCGCGGAATCGCGGTGGGTGTTACAGGCGGCAATGGGAATTTCCGATTTCGAAAATCCTGGCTGCGCCCTGGCAGTGGTGGTCTTCTATTCTCTGTTAATTTATTTCCAAACACAACAATATGTTACACATAATAACAATATGGTTCACATGAATTTATATACAAATATACTGGTAGGTAGTAGAATACTCTAGGCTTAAATATTAGAATTTTTAAAGGCATAATGGATTTTCGATTGTTGTTGCCTGTAATAAATTTTATTACTCCCAGAAAATATACACAATTATCTGAATACAAGTAGTATTTTTGTCAATAGACTCGACTATTATCGTAATATCATGGTACCAATGATAGAAAGCGTCAGACAACTCCTTGACTATCTTTTCATATGGTCATTTGTACAAAGTGAATAATTTTAATAAAACTGACTGTGTCACAAGTTGCTATTATTTTTTATTAATAGCTATAAACTATCAATTACTTTGTGTACATATACTGTTGGTCTGTGGCTTCATTCTGATATTTGTATTGAAGCTTATTTCCTAATTTACTGGTTTTAATCAACTAAAACAAAAATGTGTTACTTTTTGATTTTAGAATGTATTCGGAATTCCAGATTCGAAAACATTATTTTAGAATGTATTCGGAATAGTTTAGTATTCGGAAATGGCCATCCCTGCACATAATTAACAAAGTCAAAACCCCCAATCCGTGGAGGTGGAAACCGTGCCATACAAGCTTGTGTATTTTACAGATAATCGTAACTGTGTTAGTCGTTTTACTGACATGAAACTAGAGACCGTTGCTATTGAACTTTCATATTTATAAAGTAAGAGTTTTAGACTTTCTGGGGTTTCAACGTTTTTAATGAAAAAAGATAGCTCTGGTCAAATGTATAGACCAAGAAAGTCAAAACAAAATATTTTACCATCAATTCCCCGATAATCATATACGGCAACGTAACAGTACCTGTCTCAGAGTACCGATAGCAGTACCCGGACTGCCCCAGCTTTTCTAGGTTCTGGACGATACTTCAACTATGGAGTTGGACTGCTAGGTTTCCCAAACATTTTGGGCCGCGGACCCCCATTTATGAATCTTAGTTTTGACGGTTCCCCATCCTATGCCGAATCTATTTCTGATTATCAATTTTTGGAGCAATTTGTGACAAGCAAACTTGTAGGTCCGACTCTGCGGCAAGTCTCGACCTGTATTTTGTCATCATGTTGGTAAAAGCTGAAATGCTGCCCGAAATGTGGTCGTTACAAAAAGCAATAAATAATAAATAAATTAAAATAAATTAAATAAATTTTACTCTGAGATATTTTACTCTGAGCATTTCGATCGAGCGGAGTCACTGTTAACAAGTACATCTAAATATTTGCCGAATTCGCAAAATAGGGATAAAAACAATATTTAATCGGACAGTTACCTCACGTTTTTATTTTTATGGCCGCGGATTGCAATGGTATATAAGAGTGGTGAGGATTTTATTTTGTCGACGCAACCGCAGGTTAAATTGAAGACAATTAAATTAATAAGAGCAAGACATTTTAAATATGCCCGTGTCGGTCACGAATTCATCACTTTGCACAACAGAAAAATATATATTCGTTGACCGTTGTTATATTATTTGTTGTAAAAGTCGACTCTTTTAACAGGTGGCATAATCGCGGCGATGAATATGTATTTTTAATTTACTGCTAAACTTTATATATATATTCATTGTATGAAATGAATTATTCTCTACACTTAACAGGATTTTATATAATTATTTGAGATTTTTCTAACGGCGATAACGAGTTGGCAAGATTGCAAAAATACATATTAAAATTAAATACATCAAGCAGTTTATCTCGTAATTTTAGGTCACAGATTGCCGTGGACCGGATAGTAATTTTTTTTTTTGACGTAAGAAGAAGCAACCGCGAGTTATGTTGGACACATTAAATTAATATATAAAGATATTTTAGAATCTCGTAGTTGTCATGGATTGAATATTTTACGTAACAGAATGATCATTATACGCTGACAAGACGGCTCTTTAACGAGCGCGGAATCGCGGTGGGTGTTACAGGCGGCAATGAGAATTTCCGATTTCGAAAATCCTGGATGCGCGCTGGCAGTGGTGGTCATCTATTCTCTACTAATTTATTTCTAACTCCAAACACAACAATATGTTACACATAATAACAATATGGTTCACATAAATTTATATACAAATATACTGGTAGGTAGTAGAATACTCTAGGCTTAAATATTAGAATTTTTAAAAGCATAATAGATTTTCGATTGTTGTTGCCTGTATTGCCAATAAATTTTATTACTCTCAGAAAATATACACAATTATCTGAATACAAGTAGTATTTTTGTCAATAGACTCGACTATTATCGTAATATCATGGTACCAATGATAGTAAGCGTCAGACAACTCCTTGGCTATCTTTTCATATGGTCATTTGTATAAAGTGAATAATTTTAATAAACTGACTGTGTCACAAGTTGCTATTATTTTTTATTGATAGCTATGAACTATCAATTACTTTGTGTACATATACTGTTGGTTTGTGGCTTCATTCTGATATTTCTATTGAAGCTTATTTCCTAATTTACTGGGTTTTAATCAACTAAAACAAAAATGTGTTATTTTTGATTTTAGAATGTATTCGGAATTCCAGATTCGAAAACATTATTTTAGAATGTATTCGGAATAGTTTAGTATTCGGAAATGGCCATCCCTGGTTGACACATTCGTTAACCGTGAATGCTAAGATCCCCAATGCACCTCTGATTATCTTACACGGGTAAGCAGTCTTCAATTCCGTGGAGGGTGATTATTGTTTTCTATATTCTAGAGCAGTGCTCTTTAACCGGGTATACTGTATACCCAAGTGTATAGCGGACCATAAGTAGGATATACAACTGATAAAGGGTATACGAAGGGTGTACAGCCTAAGTCAGGGATTTCAAACTGTAATATATTTAATTAAGAAATATTCAAGCGGAGACGACAATGCAAACGCGGCGCACATGAAATAGACTTGAGCACATTGTTACATCAAAAATTATATAGATAAAGCTATGCACTTCGGCTGCTATGTACTTCGTTTGATTTACGTTGAGAATTATTCCCGTTGACGCAAAGGCTGTCGGTCAAATTTATAACTTGCGGACACTAGTCTATTTCTATTAGATTGCATGATGATATTGCAGTATCGTCAGTTTTTTTTAATCTGTGCTCAAAATTTAATGTTTATTCAAGCCCTAAATAAACATTGGTATTTGTGAGGTATACAAAGTTTTTGAAAATTTGTAAAAGGTATACCACGGTATAAAAGGTTAAAGAACACTGCTCTAGAGCTGACTCGATAGGATTGCTGAATTCCTCGCTGTTTTATAATGCTTCAAGCACCCCACTCGCTGGCCAGTTAGGCTCTCCCCGCTATGCATCTGAAACGGATAACTCTGCGATTATTCTTATTTCCAACATGCACATGCAATCGAACAATGGCCGAAGTTCAATGCCCAGTTGCCGGCCTGCAACATGCATTAGCACTCATATCCTACTAAATCCCAAGTCTTGAAAATCAACCAAATTACGATTGACCAAATTTATTTCTCATCTGAATAAATACTATTATCCTGTATTTACATCAAATATATACATTAAATGGTCGAGCATGGCACTTAGACATTTCGATTCATTTTGATAGCCCCTCCCAATAATTTTTTTTTATAAAATATACGAAGCAGAGCTGTGATGTCGGAACCGCAATCATAATTTCAAATTAGGTGGAGACAAAATTTCGAATTAGCATCAAAATTATACAGAAACACCAAAAAACTTAAGTTAGCAAAGCCTTCATTAACCGCCAATTACTAATGGCTCACGCCAAAGTTTGGTTATCAATTTTTTTTTCTCTGAAGTTCGGGGCTGGAGTCGCAGTCGATATTTCATCAAACTGGATCTGGATACGAAAATGGATCTACTAAGCCCCCTTAAAAAAACGTCACCTCTCAAAATAAAAAAAATAAATCTTGAGTGTTCATCCAGTCAAGGTTAGGATGAGAATACAGATTACATGGAAATTCAAACTTTTGCGCTCCAGAAGTTTGTGCACCAAGATGACGGACACCGTCTGGAGTACCCAAATCATTCTTAACCCCAACTGAATAATAATTAATTTATTATTTGGTGGGAATGCCTTTCTCACATTTTTGCATTAGTGGCAGGAGCTTTGTACAAACGATTCTTTTTTTAAACAGGAGTAGAAGTCTGACTCACAGCCCTGGTACATAGTACAAGTAAATATAATTATCCAAGTAATTTAGAAAGAGATATAGTAAAATGTTACGTTTTTACAATTAAGTTCCTATACCAAATCACATACTCGACCAACATAAAATCAAAATGAAAAATGAACAAAAAGAAACTGCATATTTGGAAACTGATTGAATTTTACGACGAAATAAAATAAAAAAAGTTGTGTCGAAAATTTCAACAAAGCTATTTACATACTATTTGGGCAAGTAATTGAAAATTTTGAAATACTATTTGTATGCAAGAATATCGTCAAACTCGGAGTCTGTGTGACATTTACGTGACCAGCCAATTAAAGTTCTATTAGGCGTTTTCAGATACTCGATTAGCCGGGTATTATTGAAAAGGATTTTCAAAAAGCATGGTGTAACGATACATCTCGACAATATAGTATGGCGTTACACTATAAAATGTTACGCCATAATATATTAGTATCTAAATATAAGATATATGGGTTTTACGGGATTTTATATGTCTCCTAGGCATAAGGGACCTATTTTTTTTTCAAAAACGCTGTAATATTCCATATACGCCACTGAAACACTAATACATATATAGTTCAACAAAGACTCAAAAAAAAACAATATTACATTTGATGCATAATCTCATATCGGCAACCTGTGCGGATAAATCAAAAATAAAAGAGAAAAATAAAAAATGACCGATTAAAGTAGATTCCATTTCACTTAAATAGTGTTGCACTTAAAAATAAAAGTACGTTATTGAATGAGTAGCATAGTAGTCGATTTTTTAATGAGTAGGGGGGTGTTCTGAACATTCTGAGACATTTTTATTGTGAATGTTTCAATTTCATTTTTTCAAAAATTGGAAGTTTTTTGAGGGGTACTTTATCACGGCGCTCTTTGTCAATATTGAATAAATCCCATTCCTGTTAATCATACCAGGGCTCCCACTTTACATAGACAATATAATTGAAAATGTCGTCATCAAAACATGACGCCATCAAAATCTATATGTTTATCTACCAAAATTATCAGCCTAGCAAATGGAAATATTAACTACCGACATCTCTGAATATGACAAGTTTAAACGTCCATGTAGCGATTTACAAATATCAACCATAACCATGACGTCATAAAAACATCAAATATCACAATGTTTATTATATATTCGATACACCGTCGTAACGCTACAACAAATGGAATGAAAGATTCCCTTGAACTGTTCAAATAAATAGAAATTTTCGACTCAAATCTGTATCAATCTAGTAATCCTATAGTTCGTCTTTTCCATGCTGGCTTGGCGCAGGCATCACCAACTTGTTGCCAAATATTGTTGCGATCTGCTCTTTGTCAAGTTCGCCACGATCGAGTAACTTCTGAACCAATTCCTAGAAGAATAGGGTAATATAATTATTATTATAATTATTATCAGAGCTTTCCCCAAATATATGAAAACGGATGTCACATGAAATTGTTCCCCTTTTAACGTTTAACTTTGTTATTGGACACGCAGTGGATCCATGGATTGTTTTGTTATTATGTTGTTCTTTGTCACAGAAAAATCGCTTTTCTTTTTGATTACTGGACCAATGGCTTTGAAATTTTCAGTGGTTAGGGATCGTTGTTGTCGCTAGAAGTCTATTACTCTTATTTATTTCGAATAATCCAGGGAGCTGTATGGTATTCGTTTATTTGTGTGTGCTATGACGTCATCAAAATTTGCCACCATGTTAACGATCCGCGAACGCATATGAGCGCTACATGTCCATATATTTGAGCATAGCTCTCTTGTTTGTATTCATTGTCGCAAAAATCATTTTTTTCACTTTTCATTTACCATTTGGCAAAAAAGACGAAATATTTTTTCTCTGAGCATGACTCTTTACAAGCAACTACTTTTACAACGAGACAACGGCATAACCAGGAATTTTCAAAAGGGGGTTCTGGAAACTAGCTGGTTTTCAAGAGTTTTAAGGGTCTAAAAAGCGTTTCAAGCCACGAGAAATTTCAATGTATGATATCGATTTTTTTTACATTTCAAAAGAGAGGGCTGCTATAAGCTCTCAGCCACTTTGCTTTCCGTTATCTTCCTTACAAAATTACTTACCCTCTCTTTATTAGCACCCGCCAAATTCAGACTATGTCTCAAATCTTCTTCGAAAAAAGCACTTGCGTCCAGTAACTGCTCACGAACCTGTAATGAAACGGAAAACCTTCAAAAACTGACTTAATCCGAAAAACACTAGGCTTTAGGGCGCTCCAGAAGTATGTGTACCAATATGGAGGTAATTAATTTTGTTCGCCTATTTTACATCAAGTTGTGTAAACGGACTGAACTTATGGTCAGGGGTATATTCACTTGGCTAAAACAGACAGTCCTCCTAAGACGTAATAGAACTAAAATGAGGAAAATCGGAATAAAATTATGACCTAACCCTAAGCTGGTACACATACTACGGAAGTACCGGCTTTCGAACTGGTTGTTGAAAAAGTCAACAGAATATCGAGTCAGAAATCGGTTAGTCTTATGCATGTCTTGTGCAATGACTAGAGAAGGCAAAATTCTTATCAAGTGTCGTCAAACTCACCATTGTACTGGCGAGAAATCTTCCAACTTGTTTATTTAAATTAACACAGGGGTAGGCAATTACTTTTCTGAGTAGACCAGTCCTAGATAATATACTTGATTTTTGGGTAGGAGCCACAAAGCCCAATATGATACTATAAACCAGAGGTGGCCAACACGTTGATCGCGATCGACCGCCTGGCCACGTCTGAGAATATGATAACATACCTTAAAATTTTGCCTTGAACAAGCTTCATGCAGCGCATTTTGTGTGCTTTTATAACAGAAATAATACAGTACTGCGTATGCGCAAGATACGATACAGTATACACATATAGTATTTGAGTCGGGTCAAAGCCGATAGAGTATATTAATTATTACGTAACAAAGGCAAGTTTCGCCGCAGCCAATTATAGGAAATTAACGAATATCGTGTGCCTTGAGTGACGAACGATCGTACAATAACTCATTTGTTTTTGTGTATGACCTTATTACCGATCAGTCGATCGCGAGATATTTTGACGTTTACAGTCAATCGCGGTTACAAGTAGGTCAGCCACCCCTACTATGAATGATATGATACTTTGAGATGTGTCTCGTTTTGCACATTATATTCAGTTGCGGATGAAGCTTGGGGGGAAGTACGGTATTTATTTTAGCCGACGAATCGTTGTCTTCATAGGTATTTTCAACGAGAATTGATATCCATGAAAACTATAGCCGCTAGTTCAGCAAGGACAAGTGGGCCCGATGAAACACTTTGGCGGGGTGGATTCGGCCCGCGGGCCGTAATTTGCATTGCAAAACATTTCAGACGAGGTGACAGGGACAGAAAATAAATATTCTTTTATGAGTCACAACCTTGTGGTGACAGAACATCGCACTAAGAACGATATAACGACTATTTTGTGGAGATTTTAACGGCCGAAAGAGATATTTTCAATTGAATCTGACCAAAAGACCGTCCCTTTGCTAATAAGACACGTGCTTTCTTGAAACAACCAGCAATCAGACATATTGTTGATAGCGCAATAAAATGCCAATGAAACTTACATTATCATCTTTCTCGTAAAATAGTTCAGCGTCTAGAATCGTAAGTTCTGTGTCTTTATTCTGATCCAACAACCCGAAGAAATTGATCAAAATCTCCTGACAACGGTCATCCCATGTCTGAAGCGTTTCTGGCATTTTCTGTAGCAAACGGAAGACTGTAATTAGCTGGGAATCGATATATTGGTTTATTGTTTGTCAACCAAATAAATCAAAGCATACGTACAATAAATTGATAGTTTTTGGTAAAGACTGCAGGGAGCGATGCGACCCTACGGGCATCTAAGTCAGCTGCACCCAAATCAACTGATATGCATATGATTCACAGTTATTGGATGACTATATTTTATTGTGGTACAATTAAATTATATTGTGGAAAAGATAAACAAGCATATATATGACGAACGAATAATTGTAGCGATGGACTTCACCATGTCCAAGTCACATGTCAAAGATGTTAGGTTTATATCTGAGGAATTTACAATAACACCGGAATGATGGTGTGGAACTGTAGCGATGGATATTCAAAATCACTAACCCTAAAACGTAAATGTTCAACAGCGTAGTGTATACCATTTAGTTTTAATTGTTTTCAAACTGGGTTAGAGGCTAATTCGCTTTAGGGTAGTGGTTCCAAAGGTTGATGACCGGGGGCCAAAATTAGAAGCGGAAGGATATTTGCGGGCAGAAGGGAGCGCCCGCAAGGGGCCATACCGGTACGTATAATTATAATACGTATTATTATAATTAAGATGTGTGATAATGATGTTTCAATTGGCGGTATCCATAACGCAAAACATGAAGTGTTAAAATATTTCACTTACGTTCGGCGGGCGTTCCTTACGTTCGTTGTTAATTAAAAACACATTCTGATTTGTTTAAAAAAAATTTGCAATAATTCCTTGATTTGGTTGGACTTTATTCTCAGAATTTTAACTTTGGTCAATGCTAAAATTTGTTATTGTCTGTCCGGATTCGGATACACAGCTGGACTCTAATTATCAAAATATTCGACTCACTTTCAACACATATTTCTTCAATCCGCTCATCTTCACTGGTTTTTTGATTCTAAGAATAGCTCTGTAGATCTTGTCGCTAGAATAAAATGAAAAATTTGAACGCTACTTAAAAGCAGGCTTATAATAAATTTCTATTGCGCAAAAACTCGTCAATATGAATCGTGCTACTTAAAGGTATATTCACTATATACAGGGTGTACAAACATTTTCGCCCGATTTTATAGTAATAACAAGTGTAGTTCAAATTTATCATACGATAGAATTTATTCAAACCTACAATTATTATTACTATAAAACCGGGCGACATTTTTGGACACCCTGTACAGGTTAAGATATTCTGTGTTGTGCTGGTAGTGATGTTTCTGATTGTTTATATCAGATCCAAGTTCGGAGAGAATGTCTAAAACTGCAGTTCTGAAACGGTTGGGCGCGACCCACAAGGTGAGAAGTAGACAATTTTTGAGGAAGCGTGAAGCTAGTATTTGAATATTTGTTAGGTTTGATCTTAACCTCCTTCTTTTGGATGTTCACTTTTCAAAACTTTTCATTTATTTCATTATTTACGTCCCATCCACGTATTTTCAACGTGTTTTTGAATAAAACATGCTTTCGACTTACTATCTGTTATATTTATCTTATTGTTAGGTAGTTATTGTTGAGGTGGGGCGCGAGACTTGACAAATTCTAAAAAAAGGGCGCGGCTTAAAAAGTTTGAGAACTACTGGCTAAAACATTTCATTAAAGCAGCAACAGGCCTGATAAATGAGGGGTTGAAAATATCTCAATTAATCCTCTCTTACAAATATCTAATAATTAGGTTATGCTGTTCGGAAAATGTTCCTAACCATTCCAAATTGAATGTTGAAAACATATGGGTTATTTTATCTAAGTATGGTTAGAACAAATTGATGAGCATGTAGTACAGCAGGGGTCGGAAACCTACGGCCCGCGGGCCAAATCCGGCCCTTGACGCTTCACTGAATTATAGTGACAAAACAGCTGTTTTGACGATTATATTCTTTACGTAACAGAATTTATTTTGAGACAAGTGTAGACTAAATTATATTATAACGTAACAAGTATATAATTCACAATTACTTGTTTGTTGAGCCTATCATTTAATTATAAACAGACAAATGGCAACGGAACGCAGAAAAGTTGATGCTAAGTGCAAATGGTTTAAAGGCGCAGAAAATATTCAAATGGTCGATCTTTGCGCGCTGCTTAAAATTTAACTACTGATCTGCGTGAAAAAAATGTGATACGTCCGCCATTCGTTTGGTTTTTAACTTACTAAAAATATGTGCGGCCCGCCAATGACTCGCAACGTTTACTTTTGACCCGTGAGCGACAAAAGGTTGCCGACCACTGTAGTACAGTTTTGATAGAAAAGTTGTGAGCTACCACCGCTTCACCAAGAGTTATTTATGCATAGATCTATTTTTGATGTAAAAATATTGGAAGATACATGTTGGCATACTTCAATCGTTTTAGCATTGATCACAACTTGAGCACTTTATAAAAAAACTTACGCAAGGCTCTGTTCTTCTTGCTGAATGTACGGTCCCTCCCCTGTGTCTTCTTCAGACACTGGCGGCGCCTCGACTTCTTCTTCCTTGTGCTCTGGGTCCAGATAGGGAGCTTCGTAGTCGTCAGAATAACTAATTGGTTGCCCTGCAACAGGAATGTTCTTTACATAGGATATGCAAATTAGTTGACGTCATAGATGATGATGTCATTGAAAGTAAAGTAGTTTCACCCGTAAATAAATCAAAATTTTCAATCGGTCTCACAATTATTGTTTAGTCACCATCTTCGTATTAATAAATTTGTGCAATAACTCGGGCTAGTACTCAGGGTTTCGATCAGACTTTTTTCATATCATTGCGGACCCCCTGTGCGGTCCGCGGCCCAAAAAGTTTGGGAATCCCAGGGTTAAGTGATTGCCTTTTATTTCTCTAACCAATCTTTCAAAACAGATCAGAAAATAATAACAGCATAGTGCCCCAACCTAACTTATTCTAACCCAGTGATAGCAAACCTATTTAATGAATGGGTCAAAAATTTCAATTTTTTTTTTTGTTGTAAAGAAGACCGTGGGTCATAGATATTTAATTAGAGTTTGCATCAATGAGAAACTTGCGGTTGCATTTTTCTAACAATTTCTGCAAATATTTGGTCAGTGGACTGAGGTGATTTCTGGTACTCGACTTTTTGAAATTTAACATTTCTTAAAGCTAACTTGACTTATCTTAACGAAAGACCTACCATTGATTCTCATGACATTTTTCTTTGATTCTGCTGGGCTAGATTATAGCTCTCAATTTATTTAGGCAAACTTATTCTAAACTGGGATAAACAGATTAAATACAGCAGATCAGAAAATTATTGATGAGGTGATTCTGCCAAGAATAATATTTTACTCACCATCTGTCTGAGTTTTCTCCTGGACCGCAACTTCCGTTTCTTTTTCCACTTTATCGTCTTCGGTTTTATTCTCTGTATCTAAAAACAAGAGAAATTGGATAATAATACGCTATATACGTGCCGCCGTAGCATACGTGACGTAAGTATCGTAACGACATATGCGCACTACCGTGGTTTATTTTATAATTAAGCCGTATTATCAACTCCCCCCTCGTAAAAAATATGAAAATCTTATCCCCCATATGATTGAGACGTATTATCGGCTTTACTTCCCCAAGAAAAATATAAAAATTACATTCTATTGCTCGTATAATTAAGCCGTATTATCGACCTTTTTCCCAGAGATAAATAGGAAAATCCTATCTTATTTCTATATTGAAAACAATACCAAGATTGTTCAACTTCATGTTTCTGCACCGAAAGCATTAGTTTGTAAATTTGATAATATGACAGTTCTTACAATGCAAAATGTCAGTATGACATCATTTGTATGTGACGCAATCTGGCACATCGCTACGGGCAACAGAAAGACAGGACAAGATCTTACATTATATTATAAGTGAAATCTTCAATGTGTGTTCTACTTACTGTATCGTTTCAAAAACTCCTCTTTTGTAGGACTTCCTCCTTCAGGAGCGGAAGAATATGCACCGCCGCCTCCATCTTCCGCTTCGTCCATTCCTGCAAAAAAAAAACGGTGAATCTGTATTTTTCATGAACTGTACCACATATTGTGATATTGAAATGGGAGAATGATTAGTACAGGGGCTCCCAAACGGTGGGACCAGCCCAAATTGAGACCTAGACCATTTTTGAGGGGGGTGAAACTAATTAAAGATAAAAATATTTGTTAGATTTGATCTTACCCACCTCATTTTTTATATTCACAAGAAAACTTCTGAAGGTAAAGCTTTAATTTTTAGTATTAAATACGCAGATATCAGTAATTTATTTTTTACCACGCCTAAAAATACAATTTCTACATACACAATTTAACATAAATATATGAAAAAAAATCGCATTTCAGGGTGAACGGAGACGCCGAAAACCAAAGCTAGTTATCAAGCGGCGACACCGTTGAGGAAGTCTAACAAAACGTGATTAATACAATAAGATGGTCCAAACGGCCTTCCGCTCGAATAGCAGCCGGAATTGGGCCTGTGAGTGTCTAATTAGTCTGTTAAATAATTAGCTAACCCATAGCAGGATGCGCTAGTTGATTGATTGATTTTACCGTCAATCTTCGATTAAAGGCAATGACGCCATCGAACATGACGTAATGAAGTTTGAATAATCTTTTTTTTAAATGAAAATTCATAGTTATGAATTGATTGATTTTATTGGAGAGCCATCAATCGCCGATTAAAGGCAATGACGTCATAGAATATGACGTCATGAATTTTAAATAATCTTTTTTTAAAGAAAATTCATAGTCATGGATTGATCGATTTTATTGGAGAGCCGCCAATTGTCGATTAAAGACAATGGCGTCATAGAACATGACGTCATGAATTTTGAACACTAAGATAAAATGCCATCTCTCGAAGACAATGACGTCACGATTTATGATCAAAACCTACCTGGATAGGAAATGTTTGCAATCGTATTTCTTCCGGTGAAATCCCCGCAAACTTCCTCCGTCAAATCGAAGAATTGTTGAGGTCGATGTTTCCACCAGAGATTGACTGCCAAGTTGCTCCCGAATGAGTTCACTTGATGATACCTGAAAAAGAGAGTTATCTTATATGAAAAAAACTCGTGTTTTTTGGGTTATTACAGGAGTGGCATTAGGGACGAGGCACCTGAGAAATAAGGACTTTTTCGTAAGGAGAATTTATGCTCCGTCGTTGAGAACTGAATATTTTGCTCGCAGTTGGGAATAAAGACAGTTACTGTTTGAAAATATTTTGCAAGATTAGGGCGTATATTTGGTTACGTTCGGTACATATGACATCACTGAGCATATGACAAAAAGCATTGTTTTAGAGAAATTTTGGTTTCTGACGTAATTCACAACTTCACTCTTAACCAGACTGGAATAGGTAAACAAAGTCACGTGTTTTGGTGGCTGTTATACGCCGAACCAAAGTCGCTTTTTCAGAGTTTTGAAAGTTAGGGTCGAAGGTTTAAGCTGGGTAAGTTGATTTAAATTAGAAGTAATTTTAATACAGAATCGAAGTCGGTGTCATGCTCAGTCTGGGGTAGGATTTGGGGATTGCAGAGTCTTTGAGTGACTCGAATTCAAAATCGAACTTTCCTTCGTCGCCCTAGCTCCTTCTTAATCAAATTCTCCAACTAGAAAATTTTTACCACCCATACGGAATGAACAGGAGTCCAGACGGAGGTACAAAGACTTGGATACGATTTAGGGGTGGAAATCTTTTTTGGAATTACTCGGATTTTAGAATCTAGTGCAACTTTGCGTTGTCTCTCCCGCGCCCGTTTTAATGAGATATATGAACGAAAATTAAAATTTCTTACCATCCATAGGGGATGAACAGGCAGTCTCCCGCTTGCATGTCAACCTTTGAATATCGGACTTTAGCGAGGTCCGGAAACTTAGTGTAATCGACCGCATCCACGTCCATTGACGAGTAACCGCCATCTGTTCGGTCGATCAGGTTTCTCCATATCTGAGATAAAGGATAGTTTTGTATTTACGAAAGTTTTCTCGTCTCGAACAGTAGTAAATTTATGTGGCTTTTAGCACAGCCCAGAAATAAACCGGGGGCTGAAAAGAACCCATGATGAAGCGGTCATTATTTTACTTGTTACTCTAGTTCAGGGCGCAAATTACGGTCCGGGGGCCGGATCCAGCTCGCTGAAATGTTTTTCATATGGCTCACTTTCGTCTGCTGGAAGTAGGACTTCTTATGGATATAAATTTCAGTTGAAAATATGAATAAAAATAACTTCATAATGACGCCGATTGTTACATTGTGTTTCTTATTAATATATAAAATTAGCTTAGCTGTTGTAAATAAACTGTTTTTTATTCATATACTTTTCATATCAAGTGATGAGCCTCCGGCCCAGTAATTAAGTCTATTATCTGTAACTGGGCCACTCAGAAAAGTAGTTGCCCAACCTTGCTCAAGTTGTTATACTGCTTTTATATATCGTTTACTTGGTAGGCGTGATTGCCGATTGTTAAAAGCAGGGGTCAACCTACGGCCCGCGGAGTAGTATAATCCGGCCGGCGACGCTTAACTGAATTATAGTAACAAAACAACTGTTTGACGATTATATTTTTTACGTAACAAAATATATTGTGAGACACGTGTAGAATAATTTATATAATAACCTAACAAGTATATAATTCACAATTACTCGTTTGATGAGCCTATAATTAAATTATAATTAGACAAATGGCAACAAAACTTGATGCTAAGAGTTCAATGGCGCCGAAAATATTCAAATGGAATTTTTTGAGATGCAATGCAATGAGGAAAGTAATCCGTATTCTATTCGAGAGATGTATCTATCACTGCTTTATTTTTGTTATGAAAAATAACATCCGTTCGGTTTTCAACTTTCTAAAAATATGTGCGACCCGCCAATGTATTGCAACCCCTAATTTTGGTCCGGGAGCGACAAAAGGTTGCCGACCTCTGGTTTAAAGGGTTGGACTTAGCTGTGTCGGCAGCGCAGATTAAAATATTGGATTCAAATACTATGCACACTCTTTTACAATAGAAATGATAAATTTTAGACAGGGAATATTCTGATCCCCTCAAAATGTAGCGTCTTACATAGCAGAAAATACTAGCACGGAACCTTGGGCAAAAATCTCGGCAAGAATAGCAAACAATTTCATCTCCAAAATATCAGAACCTCGGGAAGTGGTTTTTAAACGGTGTGGCGCACCCCACAAGGCGGCCTAGCCATTTTTGAGGGACGTGAAGAATAAAAGTATTCGATAGATTTGATCTTGTCCGCCTTATTTCGATATTTACATTTCTTTATTATGAACATGTTTTTTCAACGTGCTAATTGAAGAAAACCTACTTTTGCCTTTCTATCTGTTATTTGCAGCTTATTGGTAACAAGTTATTTTTGAGGTGAACGCGAGACTGGACAAATTCTAAGAAGTGGGCGCTGCTTGAAACGTTTAAGAACCACTGCCTTAGAGCAAAAAGTTTTTAAACCAACGCTAAAAATACAATTTAATAAACAACATGTAAAAGTTTACAGGTGTGCCAATATATTTTGATAGAAATAACATGAACTGGAGTGTTTCAGAAGCAGACAATCCTCATGCATAACATGTAAGGCATCAATTAAATTTGTTTAAATTCGGGACACGGCGGGTCTAGTTTTAAACAAATCGTTATAAAAAAAACTTACATTATCATGGTCGTGTGGGTTCAGGAATACCAATGTCTTATTCCCCCGATACAAACAATTCAGATTGTCCACGTCATCGTTGTGAAGAACCGATTTCGTTCCTCCACTGCTAAACCACGTGACCTATGAAAAAACGAAGTAAATTATAAATTATTTGAAAAATAAATTTTTTGTGGATCATTTTGTAAAATTGTTTTGTTGCGAACAATTGCTTTCTTTCGCGACCAAGCAGTCATTAACCAACCATGTATTAAGGAATAGCAGAAGGCTAATATTTGTTTTCAAATGTCTTCTAAATCCGTCGAAGCCTCAATATTTCAGCCCACTTTTTTTTCAATTTCGAACACCTGATATCGGGCCAGTTTTTTTATATTTCATCCGACACCCGGAACAATTATTCTATTGCTTGAGCGGCTAACGGTACAGTGGTTATATTTTTTTCATAATAAAAATTCAATACTTACAACATCCAGCATGCTCTCCATGACAGGGTCGCATTGCATTGGCGGTGGGATAATGACATCCGGTCTAAAGAAAATGATGTGAGTTGATTATAAAGTAGAATGAACACACGAGTTGTTATTTCTGATTCTGCTCTCAGCGGTACGCAAGACTGTTATTATTTATCTCAAATTTGCGGTTGCGGTCTGGAAAACCTTCAAGTGTGGGACAAACGTTAGATGAGAAAATTGCAGTAAATTAATAGCGCGACCATGCGAATTTGTCAGTATTATTTTAAAAGTAACATAACAAAGAGGGTCATTTCAAAATATGTTGAATCTTGTCAAATATATGATTTATGAAAGTGTAAACGTTCAATAACGTGCATAAAAAGAATAAGGTTTCATTGTATTGAGACTGCCAAGACTACCGTATCCGGAAAAGTGTTCCAAATAAGGGATACGACATTTTCTGAGTCACTTGACCTTTGAACCCACAGTGCTGAATTGACAGATAATTTTCACTTAAGAGGAAGCTATTAACCACAGCTATTTGTTAATCACTCACTTGAGGTAAATTGCCACTCATAATCGCTCCAAATCATCCCCCTAATTATTGGTAATTGACTTAATATCTTTAAGTAGTACTGGATTATATGAATTTAATTACAGTGTAGGTTTAGGAAATCAGCAAAAGCAACGACAAAGGCGTTTTAGTAAATATTTGATTGGCTGCAATCAGGGAAGTTCAAAACGAATCGAATATACAAATACATTCGAAATTCATTATATTCGATATAGTAATTTTTTTTAATTTGGGAATAATTTAAAACATTTTCCTTTAAAAATTAAGTCGTCAGACAAGCAGATCAAAATGTACAATTTCTCAACTGGTAACAAAAAACGAAGAGAAAACAACGACCTTTTATATTTATGTCGTTTTATATATAATCAACATGAGAATATAGTCATTTATGTGATTTTACACATGCAGACATTTACTCGCCGCCAATTTAGAATGTATTCGGAATTCTATATTCAAAAATATATTCGGTTTTTGCCATATTAGAGTGCAATTTCCTGGTGGACTGAATTTGATTATTCCGTCGTCGCAGATTAAAATTTTCGGGTTTGAAATACCATGCTCTTAATTTCGCCCTGCGTGCAATAAATTGGGTAAACTACCCTGAACCGGAACAACTCTGGTTAAAATGCGTCGAATCAGTCAGTCAATCGATAGTTGTTTTATCACATGCCGAAAGTACTCATTGTACAAACACAATTAAAAAAAATGTATTCTAGTGTGAAGGGAGACGCGGTAAACCAATGATGGTTATCAATCAGCGCCACCTATGCGGGAGTAAGTCTAACATTATATCATGCTAAGAAAAAAGTCAAACATAAAATAATAAGAAAAGCCGGATTTTGAGATACATTTAAGTAATATCCCGGTGTCATTGTAGTTAATGGAAGAAAACTACTCCAAACACAACAGGTTGCGGTTTATCGGTAGTATTTGTGTTTATCATCAATATTTGTCAAAAAGCGTGCCCGCGAATGGTGTTCGTCATGGGAAGGAGCTAAAAGATGAGGGAGTGAGAAGTTAAAAACAGGAGACTAAGTAATTACATTCAAATGCCACCAACCAATTCTTACTTAACATAATTCGTTCGCTCGAATGGCATATGTCTTGAAAAGCGGGTATCTTTCAAAGTGACCTCGGGAACGGGGGACAAAAATCGTTTAATGCGATATAATAACAACTACTCACTTCAAATGCTTCGGTAGTCCGTGCACCATGTACATATCAGTCGTGTTATAAAGTTCGACAAATTGCTTGAACGTCATTGTCGAACCTGGTTCGGTTCGGATTTCTTTTTTTCTTCCTTCAGCAAATATTTCCTCCCTGTCGGATTCGGGATGGCTGATGAAGTATGAATCCGTCCTGGGATGAAATGAAGAATATTTGTATTAAGAATTTGATTTACTGTATACCGATAATCGGTAATTTGCCGATAACGATGATCAATAACCATTACCAATATTCGGTACCAATGCCAAAGCTGAATAAGAAATTGCCTCTACTGCAACGATAACCGGTAATCATCACCAATAACCGGTAATTGACACTGATAAATGATACCGCTACCAACACTGTATTAACGATCTGGGTACCGGTATATTAATAATTAATAGATTAAGAATAACGGCAACCAGTTTTCGTTAACCGGTGATAACTAGCTAACAACACCAAGAACGGAAGGTTTTGATATCAATAACCAATACCATAAACTGTAGCGATAATCGGTACCGGAATGGTGACTGGGACCAACTTATCTACCTTCCAGCTGGTATAAAACCGGTATCAATTTCTAATTAATCAATCCTCCACTTAATGAAAGCCGGTATAAAACGGCAACCGATAGTCGGAACCAAACCGATAACCGGGAACAGTAGAAATTCGTAATAATAAAGTCACCTACCATTTGGTGAAAGCCGGTGAAATCTTTGCCGCATTCTTCATGACCACTGGGGTGGACGGGATGACGTATTTATTGAAAAATTCCCTGGGAGACGAAGGGAAGCCCTCGATTGTAAAGAGTTTGAAATAAGGACCGACAGAACCAAGTGGCTTCATGTGTCCTTCCATCGATGCTAACTCATCCAATTTTGGTTGTTTTTGTTCGTCTCCGTGGTCGTCGTTATCAGCTCGGACAATCTGGGGTGATAAGAAATTAATATGATAAATATTTTATGTGGGGTGTTAGAACGCTTTCTGGTCTAAGCATACTGTAGACCAGTGGTTCCCAAACTTTTCAATATCGTTTGCCCCTAAATCGAATTACTAAAAGCTCAATTACCGCTTTCATGAAAATACAGTAGTCATTTTGTTACAACATTTTTCTTAATAAAAAATTGCGATAATACTAACACTTATTTCATCTTCCGATCAGACTTCAAAATGCCAAATTGCGCTAACTCTGCAAGTTTACCCTACCCTGTGCGGCGAAGTATTGGTATTATGTCCATACGAACCTCGACCTATACGACTGGTGCGGGCATTGCATTTACGGCTTTTCCGCAGACTAGTCAAATCTACTAGAATCACAAAAAAAAACTAAAACAGTGAACGTCTGGATCAACCCTAAAAGTTGCCAAATTATCCTCTTTTGGGGGTAATTACCCGCAGTTTGAAAACCACTGCTGTAAACAATATACCGCTGGTAAGTAGATAGCAACCCTCCTAAAATGCTATTGGACTAAAGAGCTTCATTAGACCTTTGTCAAGATGAAGCCAACACGATTAAACACAAAACTCTAACCACTCGTCTTAAAAAAGAAGTTTATATCAACGTGAGATTTTATATGAAGCGTTCAAATTATTGAATATTAAATAAATGCGAAAAGTAAACTTACCGTTTGAAATACCAGGATCACTGATAGGAGAAGATAGAGATATTTGACTAAATCCATTTTGTTTTATCCTACGTTTAACATATGAATAAGTAGACCTACTGTGAACCGAAAATGAATTTAAACGTTTAATTGTGTAAGAACGTTTATTGAACTTATTGGTTCTTAAAGGAAATATAAATTTCACAATGAAAGGAGACGCCGAAAGGCAATACTGGTTATCAGGCGGCGGCACCCTTGGGGAAGTCTAACAGAACTTGATGAATAAAACAAAAGTCGGAACTAAATATGTCATTTAATAAAAAAGCACTAGGTACGCCAAGGCGGACTAGTTCATACCAAGCAGTCGCCGTTTCAATAAAGAAAGTCGACTCCAAGCAACACAGTCTACATAACCATGGAAATTATATTACGAGACAAGTCTCACACTCTCGTCTTTCTTATCTGCAATTATTCTCGCTAATTAGATATAAAAAGGTATAATTAGCAATGAATATTAAAAGAAATTGTTTGAGAAGCGAGCGGTGGAAAAATGGGCAATTTCGCAATTTATACCAGGCTGTATGATACTTACCGAAGTTTCATATGTTTCCTCACATGGAACGTTCCAATCACTACGCTTCAACTTTACTATGCCGTGCTTTCTATGCCTGAGTTTTAATATCTATCCTAGCTCATAACATACAACCAACAGGGGTGTAGCCAAAAGTTTCCTTGCCGTCTAAAAGTTCAAGCAATTAATTGTATGATACAGGGAAATGCTTTCTATTTTTTTTACAACTTTAAAGGGTGGTTGTTCCGACCTTCTATTTGAATATTTCATCAGTACAAAACCGTCGCGCGTCCTCGACTAAATAAACTAGACTTGCATCTACTGCAGTTTATATAAATCAGTGCGATCGCAATCTCCCCTTCAAGTTGGTTTCACGTTTCGTGCGAGCAATGTGCTTCACCCTTCAATGTCTTTACTGAAAATTAAATGTCGCGAAGCAAATTAGCAAAAAATTTGATGGTTTTACGACCGGTCAAGGATGATACAATCAGAGTTTAGCATTTTGTATTGTATTTATAATAGAGCATTTTAGCAGGATTATGACATCATAAATTACTGGTTGTCTTCAAATATAATTGGCGGGAAAGTGGTTTAATCAAAAATCAAGCGCCCGAGGGCAAATAATGATATTGTAAGGTGATGGGTATTGATAGATAAGATTGAAACGTGCATTCCAGTAATTTTGAAGTTTCATTATCAAATTTGGGCGCTCCAGAAGTGTGTGAACCAATATTGGGGTAACTAATTTTGTTCGCCTATTTTACATCAAGTTGTGTGGAAGAACTGAAACCTACGGGCAGAGGTCATATTCACTTGGCTAACACAGACAGTCCCCGAACTCGTAATAGAACTGAATTAAGAAAAATTAGAATAAAATTATGACCTAACCCTAACTGATGTAAAATATCCCCAAAATATGATATTAAAATGCCGCCGTAGCAAGAATAAACTAATTTGGAAGGTTTTAGTATTCAATTTGCCTAATTTAAACTTTTGAAATTCCATTAGACATGCAGATTAATTTTACATGAATTCTCGAATATTTTCCCACTCAGGCCACAAGGGTCTTGCTGCACACGAAGACATAAATATTTCTGTAATATTTCGTCTGGTCGATGTTAGATTTCTCCTAACTGTAATAATGCAATGCCGTTGTAGCAAGAATGAAGGTGACTATTCTATTTGGTTCAAGATTCTTACTGCACACTAACATAAATGTATTTGTATATACACGTTATACGTTTGGTTACCGCTTAAAACTGAAATGAACCCCATTTCTATCTCTATTATATATTCTCTCGTTATCTGAGTTGTTGGAACAAATTCTCGATCAGGGAACAATTGTCTGATTCGGAGATAATGCTGTAAACAGGGTACATTTTATAATCCGACCCGTAGACGCCAAGTGAGGACTTGCTCGTTGTTCACTGTTATCCAATCATTCGTCTTTCCTTACAATTCGCTGCTGCCAAAGGTGAAATCTCCCCAGGCAAATATTCCCCAATTATGTAGGACAAGGATTCTCAAACTTTCTGAGCCATGCCCTCTTTTTTGAATTCATCAATGCTCGCGCCCTACCTCCAAAATAACTAGCTAACAATAAGCTACAAATACCAGACAGAAAGGTAGGTTTTATTTAAAAAACAAGTTGGAAATACGGGGATAGAACTTAACTAACTTAAAATGTAAATATCCAAAATAGGGCGTGCAAAATCAACTCTAACAAATATTTTTAATTAGCTTCAAAAAATTGCCCCCCCCCCCCTTGTGGGGTGTGCCCCACCGTTTACGAACCACTGATCTAGAGGTCTGACCTCGGCCCGGTGCACAGTCAAAATATTATTCTAATCACGAAAATCGCTGAATAATAAATCCCGAAACAACAAGCTGTCCAAATAACAGTCCCAAGAAAAAGTCCACTATATTATTCTATGCGAAGACCATTCTAACCAAAGCTGTCAACAAGTAAATTCCAAAACAACTATCTCACCTCATAACAGTCACAAGAAAAACTATCTAAAAACACGTAAAATATACATAATTTTGCAGTAACGGAATGTAAGATTACTATTAGAATATTAAATTTTAGAGTGCCAATATAGGAGCGACAATGAGACCGACACATCGCAATTTTAATTCAATAAATAATCTAGTTGTGGTAAGTTATAATTTAGTTACAATTACTATAAAATTCTATTAACTTGGCAATTTTTTTGAACTTTTTCCTGGCGGACGAATGCCTTATATTTGTTGTTATTTGCCCCCTAGGCGTTTTAGATACCATTCTCATTAAATAATATTGGATATCAAATTCACTATTGATGAAAAACAAAAGTGGCGCTCCAGAAGTGTGTATACTAATATGGAGGTAACTAATTTTGTTCGCCTACTTTACATCAAGTTGTGTGAAAGGACTGAAACCTGTGGACAGGAGGTATATTCACTTGACTAACACAGACAGTCTCTGAACTCGTAATTGAACTACAATAGGGAAAATCGGAATAAAATTAGGGCCTAACCCTAACCTGGTACACATACTACGGGAATACCAAATATTGGATCTCCTAGAAAAATAAAAGCAATAGATTTCTGGCGATTTCAACCATTTTCAAAATTTTACTCTAGGTGCTGCGCAGGCTAGCGAAGTAAATCAAAAAAACAACATCAAGTTCACATTTTTGTGCAAAAATAAAAACAATTAAAAGTGAAGTGAACCTCATTTCGATCTCTATTATATATTCATCGCGTTTTCTGAGGTGCTAAAACTAATTCTCGATCAGCTGACAATTGACTGATTCGGAGATAATCTTATGAACGACAGACACGCGTTGTTTACTTTATTCAATTATTCATCTTTCCGTACAGTCCGTCGGGCTCCTAATTAAAGACATTATAAGCACTCACATTACTGAATAAAAAGCTAAATTAAATATGTTCAGCAGATATAAAGCAGATATGTTCCCCAACAACGGGACATTTTATAATCCGACTCTCAGACCTCGTGAGTAATTTATTGCTCGTGCGTTGTTCATTATACTTCTCTGTCTAAATCAATGATTCTTAATCCTTTTTTTTCTCGTGGCCCACTTTTCTTGCACAAAAAATATATGTGGCCCATAAACTTCCTCACGCAAGAAAAATCAAACTAAAAATTCTTTTTGTAAAGATAGACACCTCTACTAAATACACTCAGTAACACACACAATTATCATTCATTGCTACTACAATCAAAGTTTATTAAATTAATCAATAATTTTGCCAATTTTTAACTGGTTTGTGGGGTGGTGGCCAGTGGTGAGATTCAAATTATTTGTCAACCGGTTCCTTCGCGAAAGTCATTTTTTCAGCCGGTGCTGTTAAAAACAGAGCATTGACAGTAACCAGTAATGCTAACCGGTTCGCTGATCTTGTAAAATTCCGTGAGACGGTTCTATAGAACCGGTGCGAACCGGCTGAATCCCACAACTGGTTGTGGCCCACCTGAGAATGTTTCTGTGGCCCAGAAGTAGGTCTCTATCGTCTCTCGTGGCAGCCTGGTCTTTAATTCAACAGAAAACTCGTAGCCCAGTTTAGCAAGGTTTTCAACTAATAACACCAGCCTACGCGATCTGTTCGAGTAGGCTAAAAAGGAAATCAGGTTCCGTTAGAAACGGTAACGTATCAAATCACACATATGTCTTGCTAATTGTTTAACGTGGTATTTCCCGGATAGTCAGTCAGTCAGTAGTTTATTTTTTCACATACCGAAAATACAAAATGTGCAATCAGTGAAATAAAAGTAATGTATTCCAGCGTGAATAAAGACGCGATATACGAGTAATGATTATCGAGCAGCGTCACTTATGAGGGAGTCTAACATTGAATCATACAAAGAAAAAAAAACGAACAAGATTTTTAGGTACGTTTAAGCGACCTGGTGTTTCCAGTATCCGGTGTTGATGCGAGAAGACGACTCCAGGTACCACTGACCAAGTAACCATGGTAACAGCAGTAAATGGAATGACAGATGGGAGATAAATTTCTTAATCAAATACCCACATAAGTTGACGAACTATAGGCCACCGAGTATTTTCCAATAATTTTCAATTATGGCAGTGATGCACAATAAAGTTCTATGATTACAGTATCACGTATAAATGTTTTGTCAAATTGTCTCTGTTCTTATATCAAACAATCATACGTTACGACCATTTTAACTAAAAAAATTAATTGTCTCTTGATAAGTTTATTACGTTGTTGAATTCAAAATTTTTGGGTCTTGAAACCTTTTCCATTTTAACATTTGGGCCTCACTTGATAAACTTTGCCGACCACTGTCCTAAATGTTAACGTGGCTGTGGTAATTCCCGAATGTTAGGTCAAACGCACTAATCATAGAACACTAAAGTTCATTTGCAGTACGGATGCTATTTCCTTCATTATCGCGAACAACTTGTCTCCACTCTGACTTTGGTCAGGCGAAACGTTACAAAATAGAAATTTTTTATGAAGTTCGATGCATGATATTTAAACTACTTAAATGTATTGAATAAAATTGGGTTCACGCCACCTCTGGTCGATTACGGCTCCCTCAACCATCAAATCCATGCCTCAGAAAACAAATAACTGGCTAACTAATCCCATACCAGACATGGAATGGTAACAAGACGAGAGGCCGTGGACTTTACTCTCCCCCGAGATAAATATGTAAACACTATCCAGAAGTTTATTCTGCAGCGTGAAAATGATTGTAAACCGCTTGTCTAAGAAAGTCTGTATCTAACCAAACAAAACGTATACAATATTAAATATCCTTTATGGAAGTGTAACGCAAGAATTTTGATTCATTCAATTTGCAAATTCGTTAAATAACAAGCTTAATCAATAACCATAATATTCCAGTATTTTTTCATGCCAATAGACTGCATTACAAAAATTTGCCACAAATGCTCATTTTCATTCTTGCAAGCTTGACCAAAAACCATATTTTCTCATTTTAAAAACATATTTCGTTCAAAAACTCACTCCAACAGTATTTTTTCATGCCAATAGACTGCATTACAAAAATTTGTCATTCTGATTTTCGAAAATCTGACTTTTGTCGAACGAAACCCTACAGAATGATATTTATGAATTCGCTCGCAGGCGTGATCAAAAACCAACATTTTACATTTTAAAATTACATTTTTCAACTTTCGAAATTTTCCTATGAATATATATTTTCTAGCCAACAAACAACAGTTTACAAATTTG